GAATGCCACACCATTCCTCTTCAAATTGTCATTCCCAGCTTAGTAGATCATATGGTTGCCTGATTCAAAATGGCCAAAACCAGTCCATTTCAGCTCACTAGTGCCTAGGATATCAATCTTTATGCATTCCATTTCATTTTTGACAACTTCCAATTTTCCTAGATTCATACATCATACATTCCAGTTCCAATTATCAGTGGATGTTTGTAGCTGTTTCACCTCAATTTGAGTCGTGCCACGTCACCAAATGGAGGTCCCAAAAGCTTTACTCTATCCATATCATTAAGGTTGGTTCTACTCTGATGAGGCACCTCTTTCCCAGTCATATTTTGAGAGCCTTCTGACCTAAGGGGCTCGTCTTCCTGGCCTGTATTGGACAATGTTTCCAGGCTATTCATAAAGTTGCCCAGTAACGTATCAGACAGTGTTTCTCTCCTATTCATAGGGTTATTCATAAGAAAGTGGGTTAATTCTGGTTAAATAACCTGAGTTTTTTGTTTGTTTGTTTGCTTTTTAGGGACCACCCAGTCCCTCAGTGCTCCTGAAAGGAACACATTGGAAGAGCAGCTATGGCCAGAGGTGAGGGCTTTGCTCTGGTGAAGGGTGGTAAATGGGTAAACCTTGAGCCATTGGCAGGCCTCTCCCTGAGGCCTTGAATGAATGGGATAAATGAGCTGTTTCCATCAGTGACAGTTGGGCTGCCTGACAGAGCAGAGAAGACATAACCACACCCCCTGGAATTTGGGACTCATCTCCCTGCAGACTGAGTGGGTGGTTCCCAGAAGTGTCCAGAAAGGGTTATAAATGGGCCTGTTATCTCTGTGAACCTTGAAGCAGATGTTGTGAGTAATATGAAGGCATCTGAGTGAAGTCTTCCCAGAACATCCACAAGATAAGAGTTGAGAGTAAATGCTTTATCTCTTATTGTAATCAGTAATTCAAGAGAAATTAACTTGGGTCTTCTTGTGATAACCAGATGTGGTCAAGTACCTCATTTACTTGCACTTTTATGATCCCTCTTCCTAAGGTTCCATATTATTCATAGAAGCAGAAGTCACTCTGAGACCTTGGCACAATCATCTGAGGAAGTCTGAGTGGCCTTGAGGACCTAAGCACTGGTCACAGGCCTCTCCTCTACACTCAAAAAGACTCTAGAAGCCCTCTGGGCCAGGGACACTCAGATCTGGGAGAGACACAAAATTCTCCCAGTTTAAAGTTTATCTGCTTTACAGCAACAAATAAATATAATGCCTCATGTGCTTGCTTTTGTGTAAATAATTGAATGAAAAGGGAAGAACAGATAAGACAAATAAATATAATAGCATAGAATTCATTTTTATTATCTATCATTCTCCCTCCTTCTCCACTGAGAGGTCTCTCCTCTGAGATGTCATTAAATGGCACCAACAGAATCATTGTCAGTAGACATATGTACCCTTTTCCCATGAGGCTTAGAGAGCTTGACTACGGACCATTGTTGCTTCTGGATTCTGAACCTAGATAGAGCAAGCACACAGTCATCTCTGGACCAAGTTTTCAGGACCTGCAGTATTTCCATACAAGGCAAATGATGTTTCTGATGTTTGGTTTCAGTTGCAGTCCTTGAGGAATTTTCCATTTCCATGCAAGCCAGAGAAGCCAGGATCCAAAGCCCCTTCTAAGTCAGGTATGTGACCACTGATCATGAGCAGGGAAGACCAATGACTTCCCTATGTGGCCAGCACATCTTGCACTCCTCCTACATCCTTGAGGAGTTCAAGTCCTCCATCTTTCCCATCCTTAGACCCTCACACCACTTCTATTCCCTCCTCAGTGCCATATCCCAACATACCACTCAAAGATAAAAAACCAACCTGGCCCCACAATTGCTTGCCTGGATAAGAGTGATTTGAGGAAGCTTTCCTCCCTGTGGGTAGTCAGTGTCTTGGGAACTTAGTCACTCACTTGCCTTCTCCGTTCCTGTAATGTAGCCACCACAGTTTCTCCTGGAGATATCCTGCCCCCCCCCCCTTTTTTTTTTGTATAATGGCTCAGTGTGTCTAATACCTGGATGCTATGAATTTCGCTTTTGGATTGGCCTTCCTCCCAGCTTCATCATATGAAGTGGCTCCATTTATGCTTTATTTATGCTTGCATTGCACTGACTTAATCAGACTTTCAAGTTAAACATTCTATTCTTATTGTTGTGTGCCATTGAGTTGATTTCAACTCATAGCAACACTATAGCACAGAGTGGAACTGCCCCACCAGGTTTCCTAGGCTGTAATCTTTATAGTAGCAGACTGCCAGGTCTTTTCTCTCATTGAACTTCTAGATGTAAACCACTGACCATTTGGTTACCAGCCTTTGTACCACCTGGGCTCCTTATGCTATTCTTACTCTACTATTATATATGGACTTTAAATAGAAAAATAAATGCACTTCTCAGATATGATTTCTTTAGGAAGTTTTCTTTTAAATACCCTGTAACATGACCAGGGATATGTCACTGTGATTTCTAAAATGTTAGTGATGAAGGTGGGTAAAAGGTCCCTGGATGGTACAAATGGTTGATGCACTCAGCTGCTAACCAAAAGGTTAGCAGTTGGAGTCAACCCAAAAGTACTCAGAAGAAAGGCCTGGTAATCTATCAGCCACTGAAAATCCTATGGAGCACAGTTCCACTCTGACATACATGAAATCACCATAAGTTAGAATTGACTCCATGGCAACTGGTGAGATAGGGTAAGGCAGGTGGGTAAAGGAGGTGCCCATGTGTATCTTTTGTATATGGTTTGCAACTGATGTTGATGTATGTTCACAGGCTTTGAGTGCTAGTCTCAGACAATCTTAAACTAAAATTCTCTTTTTTATACCCAGATGGTTTTCACTTTAGTTTTTTGCCCTTTTAGTTATTTATGGTGGCCCAGAGATACAGAGTCATGGGCTAGAAAGAAGTGAGAGTCAGATAGAGGTCCAGATGAGACAGAAAGTGGGGACATGAGTGGCCTTTCATGGGATACCTATTGAGAAGCTTGTGTCTAGTTGATAATATGGCCTCCAGAGATGACTGGGTCTCTTTTCAGCAGGATTCCCAGACCTCCCAGTGACTGTCTGGCCTTCCGCTTTCCATTCCCACACCTGACAGAGTCAATCACAGCTACCTTGGGGCTGGGGAGGGGTATGGGTCTACCCTTCCCATGGCCTACATTTTGGAGAATGTAGATCTTACCTTCCTACATGGGTTCTTCTCTTTGCAGTTCATTCTCTGAGGCCTTCTGATATTAAAGTTGTGGCAGCCATTGGGAATCTGGAAACTGTGAGTACGTAAAGGAGCTGTGGGTTAGGAAGCAGAATTTGGCACTGATGATCCTCTCCATGAGCTCCTGATAACCAGGTGGAATGTCTCTTTACGGGAGGGAAGAATATTAGATGAGTTGGAGAGATCCTAAAAATGCAGGGGGTACTTGGTAAATCAGCAGGGGGTTCTGGTAAGTCAATTGAATACCACCCTTTACACCAGGGTAAGAAAAACGTGCTTTTCTCATGGAGTTCACCACCCATTGATAAGTTAAATGAAGCTCATGCAGATTTTTTAAAGTAATCATTTTAAGTTTCTATTTCTGTGATAAAGAAAAAAAAATGTCCTTACTTGTTTTATAAATTAAAAATGACATCAAAACAATCTTTTTTTTAAAAAAACTGTAAGTGGCATTTGTTAGATGACCAGGTAAGAGAGAAAGAAAACTGGAAAGGGGGTGGGTGATTAAGGGATGAATGCAGAGAGGTAGCCAGGGAGAACCAAAAAAAAAAAAGAACCAAAACCCACTGCCATTGAGTCAATTTCGACTCATAGCAACATCCATTGGGTTTCCAAGCTGTAAATCTTTTCAGAAGTAGATTGCCTCAGCTTCCTCCTGCAGAGCAGGTAGTGGGTTTGAACCAGCGACCTTCTGGTTAACAACTACATGCCTTACCACCAGAGCTCCTTACTTGGAGAAAAGGGGGATGGAAAACAGAGAATGTCAATGTGTTCCCCAATTAGTCCTTGCTTCTCACAATCCCACTTGTCCTGGTCTTAGCAAAGGTGCCACAGCCCTGGTGCCCCTCAAACCCTAGCAACCCCCAGCCTAAGAGAATAGATCTTTGTCAGGTCTGTGCTCTGCCCACTACCTTACTTGTACCTCTCACACTTGAACCTGGGACATTCTCCTGCCTCCTCCCACCTCTGATGACTACTTTTCCTTCCCAGCACCCCTCTCCTGTACTCCTTCAGCCTATATTCCTGCCATCTCAGTCTCAGCCCCTACCCCATGGCCTGGGCTCTGCCTGCCTAGCTGAAAACCCAGCCCACTACTCTGTGCACATGCTGGCGAATTCATACCCTCAGAGAGCCTGGGCCCATTTCCCCTCTTCTCCTCTGCATGCCTATCCAAGTCCCACCTTTCTGGAATGAGTCACCTCTGCTTGAACACTGGGTGAAGACGCCCACACTGAGAACCTTTTCTTCTTTTAGGCCGAAACAAATATCTGCTTGTTGATCACAATTTGAAAACTGTGAATGGGGGTGGTGGGTGTAGCAGGAGAAAGAAGAGTGTAGAGGTGCTGGTGTGTGGAGGGCACAAGACCTAATATTAGACAACTGACCAGGGACCCAATGAAATCTGAGAGCCGCATCATCCCATCCTTGTTTTATTCTATTTGCACCAGTGGTTTTAAAAATGCAGGCATTATTGTCTGTAAGCATTGATGGGGGTGAAGGTGAAGGTTTTTTACTGGAAAAGATGTGAAAAGAGAGATGAAAATAAATGAGAAGAGCAGCGTCAGGCCGTGGAGAGCAGGTTGACTTTGCTAAGCCTTTGTGCTTCTGCATACTGATACTTACATTTCAGAGCCTGGAATTCCTGTTGCATTCCTGCAGAGCTCTCAGATTCTTTCACCCTGGGCAGGGAAAGTCATTGCAGGCAAATCCCTACCCAAAGTCAGGTTTTGAAAGTTAAATCAGTGCAATGACTTCCACCCTCTGGTCTCACCTCTGGAAGCCTCTCTTATGCATGAATTATTCAGGCCTGAGCTCCTGCTTGTCACTCAGTCAACTACCCTTTCTCCTCTTGTGAGCTTGAGGCCAACACCACTCAATGCAGCTTCAGTCAGGATGGCTTCTAAGCACTAGAATCATTACAAACTAACCAAGGGCACCTCTACCTCTAGGATAAAACCTGAAAGCAAAATTCCTTAGAGGCCTTCCTCCTCTATCTGCCCAGAGAGATGGCCATTGTAAACTAGCTTAGTTTGTTACTTAAAAAAAAAATAAAAATCAGGCCAGGGGAAAATAATGGATGACATTGAATTATAAAAGAAAGGTTTTTAATGCTGATGATGACGTTTTTGTGATGGGTTCCTGGAGCTCTCTGTAACCAAGACATACTCACTTATTTATGAGTGTAACTTGACTGCTAACCAGAAGGCTGGCAGTTCAAACCCACCAGCCACTCCTGGGAAGGAAGGTTGGGCAATCCTACTTCCGTAGTGATACTGCCTTGGAAACCCAAGGAGGGGTCGCTATGAGTCAGGGCTGACTTGACGGCAAATAACAACGACAGTATTTATTTATTTGCTGTGGGCCACATTTTTTTTCACAGAATTTTAAAGATCAGATTTATAAAAGTTATTTTCAAAATAACACTTGTGGTACATGTTCAATAGAAGAAAAGATTTTTAAAAACCCAGATGGAGATTGAGTTAATAGAAGACCCCATTCACATCCCCTACTTGCCTACCTCAACACTCCCTCACACTCATACACTCACACTTTCTTGCACTCTCTCATTGATAGGGTATATACTTTAAAAAAAAAAAAAACCTAAGTAAGATCATAGAAGCTCTGGTGGCATAGCGGTTAAGGCATTCGGCTGCTAACCAAAATGTTGGTGGTTGGAACCTACCAGGAGCTCTGTGGGAGAAAGATATGGCCGTCTGCTTCTGTAAAGATTTATAGCCTTGGAAACCCTACAGGGCAGCTCTGTCCTACAGGGTCGCCGTGAATTGGAATGAGCCGGTTTGGTTTGGTTTGAAGTAGGATCACATTGTAATATACTATCTGTGACTTATTTTTTCACCTAATAAAGTATCATAGCCATTTTACAGCCCACTATACCAAATTCCTTGATGGCAGGAATTGTTTACCTTTATGTCCCTGGTGCCATAGTACCTGCCATAAGGCTTGCATTCAGCAGATGAGCAGTGTGGCAGCAGGAAAACTTGAGAAGTAGGAGTTTGCAATGTTTGTCCCAACCTTCCCTTTCTGTGACTATTCTGTATTTTTCTCAGGTCCCTCAGCTCTCTGCTAGTTCCTGTGTCATTGTTTCTCTTGTTCTCTTCCACTACCCTCCCTATCTCTTTTCACCACCTCACATTAAGCTTGTTCTGAGAAAAGGATCTGCATCAGTCAGTCATCAGAAGAAGCAAACTAGTGATCCTAAGTCACACCATGAGTAGCAATCAACTTATGGCAATGGATTTTTCTCTTTTTTTAATTGTTTAAAAGCTGGGTACAAACCAAGAAAACCAAACCCTCTGCCATCGAGTTGCTTCCAACTCATAGTGACCCCCACTGGGTTTCCGAGGTGGTAAATCTTTATGGAACTGGATTGTCCACTCTTGCTTGCATGGAGTGGCTGGTGGGTTTGAACCACCAACCTTCTGAATAGTGGTCAGATGCCTTGGGCACTGTGCTACCAGAGCTCCTTAAAAGTTGGGTAGTTAAGGATAAATCATGATGACCCCATATATGTCAGAGTAGACCTGAGTGTTTTAATGGTTTTAATTCAAAAGCAAATCAACAGGCCTTTCTTCTAAGGTGTCTCAGGGTGGACTCAAACCTCCAAACTCTTAGTTAGCAGCCAAGTGTGCTAACCATTTGCCCCACCTAGGGATGTGAGCTAAGGATAGATGGACTCTTTAGCATGAAACCAAAGCAGATTGGGTGTAGGTAATGTGGACAAAGCTTTTCACCATCATCACAACACCTCAAGACACTATCTTCTAGGAATTTTGAGAGAGATGATTTATATTGGAAACTGAAAATAATACCACTAAAAACAACTAAAAGTTCCTGAGCACTTTCTACGTACTAGGCACATACCATCTTCATGAGCTTGCAAAGGACAGGAGTTTCAAGTAGGATTACCATGGTCACACCTCCAGCCCTCCAACTTTCCCACTAGAGAGAGTTCTGTATTGTCCAGCAGGTTACTAAGAGGACGAGGGAGGGGGATCAGACATTTGTTTGTTCATCCACAATATATTTATTCCACAAATATTTGTTGAGGACCTATGATGTGCCAGGTACTTCTCTAGGCCCAAGAAATACCATCAAGAGCAAAATAGACAAAAATTTCTGCCCTCATGGTGCTTATAGTCTACTCAAGTGAGAAAGACAATAAACAAAATAAATTTTAGATTGTAGAAGTAAAACAACCTCTTTAGTTTCTAGGTAGAATGCTAATATTTTATAATACATTTAATCTAACCATTACTGCCCCTGTTTTCCGTTCTGAGGAAAACATTCATGCCTTTGATTGCTCTAAATTCTGACCAACTTGCTGCTGATGAAAGCTCAACATTCTCCCCTCACTGCAGAACTACTGTGGGATGGCTGTGGTCTTTCTCTGGGTTCACAGGTTCCCCTTTCGTAGTGGGAGGATGTGTTTTCACAAATAGCTTGAGGTCTCACAAAGGAAGATTCCACCTCATTTCCTAGCTGAGTTATTAACATCTTGTGTCTTTTCCAGCCTCCAGACCCTGGGATGGTCGACCTGAAGAAGCAAACATGGTAACTGTCCTGGAACTACAGAATGATGCAGCAGAAAGAAGACTCAGAGACTCTCTGATTTAGCTGATCTAGTTGTCTTGCTTTACCAATGGGAAAATCTGAAGACAGAGAGGCTAGATTCTGTGCTCAAGGCTACCCCAGAAGTCAGTGGCCTCCTGGGCCACTCTCAGTCCCAGCGGATCACTATGGCTTCTCTGAGTAAATAGGGAGGAGACTGGGAAGGGTCAAATGCTGGAATCCTTGCTTCCCACCACATGCTCTCCCTACTCTACTCTTGGAGGACAATGCGGGGGTTGGGGCACTGTCAGTCAGTCAACACTGACTGTGTTGGCACCAGATTAGAGCTATAGGGAGAGGAGGGGGGGTGTCTACTTGGTGCTGTTCTCCCCTTTTTGATGACTCCATTGTCATTCAAGGTATGTCTCTGACTCCAGGAAGGGTAAACCCACATCAGGCTGACCCAAAGCTTGTTAGGAAATAGAACACAATAGTCAAGGGAAAGAGGTGACTATAGGAGACAAATATAGCCTGACACTTGGGTGGTTGTTTCTACTTGCAGGTCTGAAGAAAAGCCGCAGCAGGCGTGCATGCTAGTGACAGGTGGGTTCTGTTTCCACATCCAGATTCCAGATTGTCGCGCCCCTCCTCACACAGCAGTATTTTGATTAATGAGGGTGTACCCTATTGGCCTCTTCATTACCAGAGCCTGAGGGGAAAGTGGAAGACAGTCCTAGAGGTCAGAAAAAGGGGCCAGGATATGAAAGTCACAAAATCTCAGTGGAAGGCAAGCAAGAGAACTGTGTCCAAACATCATTGGGCAAAGACAAGTGAATAGGCATTGGGTTGACATTAGGGAATATGGGAAAGGGGTTAGGAGCTGGTGGGAAGCTGGACTGGGGTGGCTGGCACAATCCTAGGCTCTTTTTCTTCCAGGATGCTGTAGCACTTTAGCTGGGAAAAATGTTCACAGTTTACTCCTGGGAGAGGACTCAGGTCTAATTTTCAGTCTATTTTATTTTGTAATAACTCCTTGGCTCATAAAATAAATACATCATTTAGGTACAGGGAAGTGAAATGAAAACAAAAATTGACAATAATATCACTATCCGGAGATAATCATTGTTAACAGTTGACCTTTTTATATATGATTGAGCTTATAAATACACTATCTGTAGCCTGGTTTTTTCATTTAATATCAGAGGTCCCTTAATGATGCTCTGTATTAAATGATCTGGAAATCCCTAAATCCAGCTGGATTAGCCTAGTGGGACATTAGAGTCTCCTTCTCCTGTGCTTGGGACTCATAAATCAGAAACAAGGGAAAGCACTGTTCACTCCATAATTAGAGTAAGAAGATGAAGACCACAATGTAAATGCTCAGGGAGCTGACCCTCCAGGGGAGTGTAATCCACAAGGAAGGGAGCCAGTGCTGTCAATTCAAACAGTGAAGTGCACAGGCTGCCAGTGCTTTATTAGATTCCCCAGGGGGAGAAGGGATGAATAAGATGCTGACTCTGCCCTCAGGTGTTCACAGTTCATCAGGGGAGGTTGAAGCCTCAGAGCAGCAGCCCCTTCAGGATCTGATTGACAAGTGAGGTGTTTTTGGTGGCTGAAATGGTGGGAGAGTGTCCATGCAGAGGGTTAAGGGTTCTAAAGAGGAAGCCCTACATTGACTTGGTGACCTTCACCCCTGTGGCTAAGCCTGGACCTGTTACTTTATTTGTTTATTCCTCACCCCCCCCCCCATTTACCTTTAAATAAGGAGCTCAGGTGGCATAATGCCTAAAGCATTTGACTGTTAACCAGAAGGCTGGCAGTTCAAAACCATCAGCCACTCCATGGAAGGAAGACTGGGCAATCTATTTCAGTAAAGATTTACTGCCTTGGAAGCCTAAAGGGGGTCTCTATGCATCAGAATTAACTGGATGGCAGTGAGTTTGGTTTTTTGTTTTTTGGGGAAGATGGCCTATAGCTTATCCGTTGAAACCATAGATGCAGCTGCTGCCTTGTCTGATTTCTTATTTTGATTTTTCCTCACCCATCCAGTAAGAAAGTCCTTCTCTCCATTCCCTCCCCCCCCCACACACACATAAACACACACCATCCCTATAGTCTTGAACGGGGTTCAGTTTTCACTGTTCTCTCTACATGTGGGAACTGGCTCCTTCTGCAAACCTAGTCAGGTGTTAGAAAGCAAAACTCCTTAGTTTAAGGATGAAGAAACCCAGTCACAAATGAGTAAGGTGGCTGTCCAAGATCACAAGGCCAAGGGATGAAGTCTTCTCCCTCCAGCCCAGTTCTCTGGTCCCACTCCCCATCTGCTGCCAGAGATGCTCCCAACAGCCTGGTTCCACACTGAAGGGAACTGCTCTAAAGCTCCCTTCAGCTCCCATAGAGCCCCTAGGGCACTACTGGATGGTAGCAGAAAGAAAGGGGACTGTGGTGGGGGTGGAGGCAGCTTCCTCCCACCACTCTCTCTCCCTGCTCTGCCCTCTCCTCTCTAGGGAGCAAGACATAACTGCTCCTGACAGTGCTATTTTTAGCGGTCTTCTGGCTGTCAGCTCTGGGACATGTTCTCTGTGTGTTTCCTGGAGCTTTCCCGCCCCTCTGTCACTCTCAGGAGCAGGGAGGGGGCCAGAAGCCAGCCTGTGCCCTGACCCAGCATCACTTTCTCTAATGAGGTGGTTGCTCATGGTGGTTAAAATCTGTGGCTTCTGAAAGCTCTGGCCCAAGGCCCAGCAACCCCAGCAGTCTATGAGAGAGACCTCGGGTTAGTTGCTTAGCTTCTCAAAGCCTCAGTTTCCCCTTCACTGAATTGGAGATAATTAGCCCTGAGTTTGTGAAGAGGATTAAATAGAGAACATTTACAAAATGGCTAGTGCTGGGCCTGGCCTGGTGCTTGATAGGGTGTTACTTTTTAGTTCCATTCACTTCTAGGGGCCTGAGTTGAGGCTGACCTCACAGCCCAAGTCAGGGTATGAAAGCCTTGGAACATGAGCAGCAACCCCAGCCCCTCAAAGGGGTCAAGGCCAACATCTCAAACAAGCTGTCTCTCTCTAGCCCTTTCAGATGTCATCAGACATTTCAATCCCTCGGTTCTGAGGCCCATGTGTCCTCCTGGGAAGAGTGTTGTGCCCCATGACGATGCTGAGTAAGTTCCCTGTCAGCCTCCCTCAGGCTTGCTTATTCCTGCTGGTCTCTGGCATGCTGGCCAGAGGAATTGGGCTGGTCTACCAAAGAGGCTTAAAAATAGAAATCTTTATCAAGCCAGCTAAGATGCCTCTCCTTTGCTGATTCCACTCTGGCTCCTGGGCCTAATTTTAACAATTAGGTCAACGTCTGCCCTTCAGAAGCCAGGGGTGGTCCCATGTAGCCTCAGTTCACATACTGGCACCTGGGCAGGGGGGACAGGCAAGCTTCCAGCCTGTAGCTGTGGCTGTGCCTATGTCCCAGCAGGGCTAGACTTAGGGTTTAGTAATTCTGCAATATAATATATAACTGTTTTTTTTTTTCTCTCTGTTTCCCTCCTTCTGCACAGAGACTTGTGGATTCAGGCCAGAGAACTGGTGAGAAGCATGAAAAAGAACCTGGTAAGAATCCATCTGACTTCCAGCCTGGTTGGGGCTGCACACATTTACTGTGAAGCAGTCAGATTCAACACACCAAGCAGTGAGAGCCTGGCACCATCTTGTCTGTGCTCTAGGGTAGCCTGGACTCTTCAAAGATGTTCTTCCCAGAGTGATGATCTAGAAGTTATTAAACACAGGACTGGCTCTTATGTTCAGAATGGTTTTCTGTGAGGTACTGCCAAAAGTAGTGGAGGGACAAATGACTTTTCACATAGTGAGGTGGTTGAGAGCTTAGGTTCCAGAGTAAGCCAGCTTGAGTTTGAATCCTGAATTCTCCACCATTAGCTGTGTGAAGGAGGTCTGGTGGCATGGTGACTAAGACACTTGACTGGTAACAAGAAGGCTGGCAGTTCAAACCCACCAGGCACTCCTCAGAAGGAGGATTGGGCAATCTACTTCCGTAGTGATGCTGCCTTGGAAACCCAAGGAGGGGTTGCTATCAGTTGGATCCAACTCGATGTCAGTGAGTTTGGTTTTCTTGGGTTAGCTGTGTGATACTGAGTAAGGGATATAACATCTCTACGTTTCTTCTCTCATTTGTAAAATACAAAGAACTAGACCCACTGACATCAAATCGATTCTGACCCATAGCAACCCCTGCAGAGTAGTTCTGTTTCATAGTTCTGACAGAGTAGAACTGTCTCATAGAGTTTCCAAGGCTGTAAATCTTCACGGAAGTAGACTGCCATATCTTTCTCCCACGGGTTTGAGCCACTGACATTTTGGTTAGCAGCAGAACACTTAACCACTGTGCCACCAGGACTCCTTCACAGTGCTTAAAAACTCACCACTGTTGAATTAGATCTGACTCATAGCAACCCCTCCTTGGGTTTCCGAGGCCGTATCTCTACAGAAGTAGATTGCCCAATCTTCCTCCCCAGGAGTGGCTGGTGGATTTAAACCGCCAGCCTTCTGAGTAGCAGTAGAATGCCTTAGGCACTAGGCCCCAGAGCTCCTTTTCTCAACTATACTGCCTGTAAAAGCACAAACAAATAAATTGTATTTCACAAGTATTCCATGTTCATAGTAGAAAACCCAGAAAACAGATAAGTGCAAAGAATATTAATGGGATCAAATTGACAGCAGAAACTCAAAAGGCTAGCTAGATAGGAAGCTTAGAGGGCAAGGAATTCATATTAATGGGGAAGGAAAAATTCAGAAAAGGAGTGTGAAATCGTTGCACAACTTGAGGATTGTAATTAGTGTCACTGAATTGCACACATAGAAACTGTTAAATTGCTCTACATTCTGTTGTGTATATTCTCAACAAGAGCAAAAATAAATAATCAAAAAAAGAATATTACAGTCATCATTAAAACTAATACCCAAAGATAATTACTATCAACTTCTTAGTGTATATTCCCTCGGTGGATATTTTTCTTAGCACTTACAGCTGTATATATTTTATAAAACACGGATGGTACCATATGTAGATACTTTTTATAACCTACTTTTCTCACTCAGTATATGAACATTCCCCATGACAATAATTACTTTTCCAAGCATCATTTTAAAGTGGTTCATCTTATGAGTATCCCACAATTTACACAGTCAGTTTTCTATTTTAGGAATTTATGTTGTTTCCAGTTTTTCACTCTTATGAACAATGCTCTGATGAGTATAATTGTAGCTAAATCTTTGCAGGCATCTTTAATTGTTTCCTTAAGATACATTTTGGGAAATGAAATTGTTGGATAAAAGGGTATGCCCCTTTAAAAAAGATTTTGATACATTTTACCAAGTTGCTTTCTAGAGCAATTGTCCCCTTTTAGGTTCTCACCATACACTACATCTTTTGGGGCAAAAAAAAAAAAATCCATAAATACAATTTTTGAGAAATGAGTTATGAAATTGAAATACATGAAAGGAAAGATGTTCTTTTGATGCAAAGTCTCTCTGATGCTCTTGCCTCTTTCCTCAGCAACTCAACTTTCAGAATGACTGGAAGCTCATCAATGTGTTTTTCAGCAACATGAGCCAGTGCCACCTGTGTCCCTCCACCCAACAGGTACATCGCAGGCTAGGCAGCCCCAGGATTGCAAATGCAGGGATGGGGCTTGGGAGGGGGGGTGAACTTAACCTGCTGATCCCCACCAGTAGGAACTCAAGGAACCTTATCTAGAAAGAGATGTTTTTAACATACCATTCTTCAGACCAGAAGGAAATTGAAGTGTAGATAAGTTGAGTCGATGGTCACCCCGCAATTGAGATAAATCAGCCTCCCAGCTAGTTAAAAATTACTTTGACTCTTTTAATTTTGGTTTCATGTGTTTAGGAGAAAGCCCAATGATAACTCCTTTTGTCACCCCTTGAAGCTATGAGCTCTAGCTGTCATTTAACTTGGGAAAGCTACTACTTATAATCTCAGTAGATTGTTTCTTCTAAGCTCTTTGGCTTTTCCTTGAGAACACACACCACACCACCCATTGCCATCGAGTCGGATCCAACCCCTCCTTGGGTTTCCGAGGCAGTGTCACTACAGAAGTAAATTGCCTGACCTTCCTTCCAAGGAGTGAGAATAGCATGCAAAATATGTGGCTTCCTTTGTCATTTATGTAGGTGACCATCTATGACTTAAGTCCTTACTGAAAATCCTCTAGCTTAGAAAAGTATAAGAAGTGGCTCAGAACCTAGGCCATGGTGGCATGAGTATTCCTTTGGAGCCTCCAGCCTGGCTGCTGCCAAGCTTTCCTGTCACCTTGACAGTCCAGTTCCCTGCCCACTGTCCTCCAAGCCCCCTTCCAGATCTCTGCTGGGCTGTGGCATTGGCATGGGAAAAATTTCTTGAGGTACTGCCCCTCTCCCACAGCATATGCTCTTGCACTCCTCATAATACCCCAAGCCCCCATTGACTCCTGGTCCTCCATCAAAAGTCCCCTTTTGAAAGTGATGTTGAACTCTATTGGATTTTAATGGAAACCATCTTTCTCCATCCAGCTCCTATTGATCCATATTCCTGAAACTCTTCTGGGTTTGTAGCATACAGATAATGAAGCTTTATTGTTCTAGTTCACCCTCTGTTGACTGTTTTCTCCAATGCCAAGATAAATTTACATGCCCTACTTATTTTCTGCCCCTGTCTTTGTTTTGTGCCATCATGCACACCAACATTTATTCATGAATTTTTACAGTCATGCACTCAAGTATTCAAATAAGCTTTTAGGCATTGCTATATTCCTCTATCCACTCATCTATCTACTCATCTATCTACCCATCCATAAGTTATGACATTCATGTGTAACTTCATTTTCTCTTTTTGCATGCAGACATATGCTATTGTATTTGTGATGAGTTTGTTCAGCTATGAGTATGAGCTTGTTCATACTTTTCATGTATGAATGCATTCATAGATGCTTCTATCCATTAGTGATTTCTTCTGTACATTTTATCTTTCATTCAAGCATTCCTACATGAATTCTTGCATTCTTTCATGTATTTGTGCATTCAAGCATTCTTGAATATATAATGTGTTCCTGTAAGCATGTACTAATTTATTCATTATTTACTTTTATTAAATTTTAGTTACACAATCAATACACAAATGCTTTCTCCTTTTGTAAAATGAAAATATTACAGATAAAGCTAAAACATCCTTTGGCCATCACCTCCAATCTTGTTCCTCTCCCTCAATTTCTAATGACAGGGTATTCTATGAGTTTTTGTGCATCTTTCTAAATCTTCTACATATCTGTGAATCTCAGTATTATATAAATATATAGGGGTGTGTGTGGATGAGTGTGTGTGTATATAAGAGGAGAAAGATTTAACATAAACAGTACTATACTGTATAGATGAACAAGTTTTTTCACTCACAAAATTTGTTTTGAGATCTAGTCATGTTGCTCATGATTTTCCTATATACTGAATTTTGTTTTGCCACTTCCCTTTTGATGGGTGTTTGGATATTTCTTTTTCTTTTTTTTTTTTTTTTTTTACTATTATAGGAAATGCTGTGATATTCTTATACTTCATTTACTTGAAGATGTACAAATATTTTTCAAACTGTGGATTCATATTAGTGGGTTAAAAAAAAAATCTGTTTGAAGGACTGCATCCAAAACTGTAAAAAATAGAAATGGAATAGAATAAAACTATATTAGAGTTCATGACGTGTAGTAAGGTAAATGTTGGTTCATGAAACTTTTGCCTCATTTCTACATGGATATGCATGTTGTTGCTGTTGTTATGTGCTGTTGAGCCAGCCTCAACTCATAGCCACCCCCCCTTGGGTTGCCGAGGCAGTACCACTATGGAAGTAGATTGCCCAACCTTCCTTCTGAGGAGTGGCTAATGGGTTTGAACCGCCAGCCTTCTGGTTAGCAGTCAAGTGCCTTAGGCACTATGCTACCAGAGCTCCTTGGATACGCATACTGGATTGCAATGTGAAATTTATATTCTGGGTCATGCTTAAAATAATTTGAAGCAAAATGCCTAGAGTAGATTCTTAGACATAGGTATATGTCTAGTCTTAGTTGTAATAAAACACCAAATAACAAAATAATTTAAAAAATCAGTTGCTGTTGAATTGATTCTGGCTCATGGCAAGGGTTTGCAATGGCTGATGATTTTGGGAGTAGATAGCCAGGTCTTTCTTTTGAGGCACCTCTGGTAGACACAAACCTCCAACCTTTTGATTAGTAATGAAGCATGTTAACCATTTGTACCACCCAAGGACTCCTTAATTTTAATTTTTAAAAAAAAAACAACAACTCACTACCATCAAGTTGGTCCCAACTCATAGCAACCCCTCCTTTCCAAGGCAGTATCTCTACGAAAGTAGATTGCCCAATCTTCCTTCCGAGGGGTGGCTGGTGGGTTTGAACCATCAGCCTTCTGGTTAGCAGTCAAGCCTTAGGCACTACACCACCAGAGCTCCCTTAATTTTAATAGGGACTGCCTAATGGCCCTTCAGAGTAGCTGAACCCATTTACACTCCCACCAGTGTTGGAGAGTTCTTTTTCCCTATAACCTTTCAAACATTTGTTATTATCAAACTTAATGATTCTTGTCAACATATGAAATTCCCTCAAGACATAGTCATGTTGATATATAAGGATTGAGTTTACTTATACATGGGACTTCATACATTTAAGTGTTTGTAAATACATGACAAGAATAATCATGCCTCATACCTAGCTTTTAAATGGAAATGAATCAATGACTTGGTTTAGCTCATTGTGGCAGTACTCAGTAGTATCTATTCAAATCTCCTTTTTACTGTATTTTTTTCTTCCATTTTGATTTTTCCTTTTGCACAAAGACCACCAGATCTTTGAGCCAAGAATAAATCTCACTGCCATTTCAATTTCCATTTAAAGGATCTTGTGGTTCTGGGTCTGGTTCAGTTGGTCCCCTTGGCCTGGGCTGCTGTCTCCTCCCTTCACCCTACATGAACTTCCGTAGCTCAGACCCACCACTCACCTCCTAGTCTTCTGGGATTGCCTCTGGCCATAGCTCAGCTTCATCTTCAATCTAACCCTGTGGCATAGCTCAACATTATCCTTTTGAAAAGTTCTTACACAGTCTTTTTTGTATTCCTGAAAACATATCCTAGGCACAATCTCTCCCTTAGTGCTTGTCAAAATGTGCTCCACAGAGCTCCAAGAGCATTAGAAGTGTCTCTGAGGACAAAAGGCAAGCCAGAGAAGGTGAGCTCCAGTCCTCTACCCTACTTCATCACAGAGCAGCTTTGTTTACTCATGCCATGTGTCAAGGGTTCCCCAAAATAGTTCATATAGGAGAGAAAAAATGTTTTACTGTTAAAAAGAAATTTTAACCTACTGTCCTGCCATATCTTAAAAAAAAAAACCTCACTGCTGTCAAGTTGGATGCAACTCACAGCAACCTTTCCTTGGGTTTCCAAGGCAATATCACTACGGAAGTAGATTGCCCAATCTTCCTTCTGAGGAGTAGCTGGTGGGTTTGAACCACCAGCCTTCTGTTAGCAGTGAAATACCTTAGGCCCTAGGCCACCAGAGCTCCTTGCCATGTCTTAGGACTTGGAATTCTCATCCCCTCAGGACGTCTTAAGGAGCCCAGCAGTGGTTAAGCATTGGGTACTACCAGAAACATTGGTGGTTTGAACCCATCAGCTGCTCCATAAAGATTCCAGACCACACCAAATCTGTTGCTGTCAAGTCAGTTCTAACTCATAGCAACTCATAGGACAGAATAGAACTGTCCCAGCAACACTTCTTTCACACAGATTTCAGCCTAGGAAGCCCTAGGGGGCAGTTCTACTCTGTCCTATAGGGTGGCTATGAGTTGAAATTAACCCAATAGCAATGTTTTTGTTAGTTTTTGTTATTTAGGGAGGCCTTTTAAGGAGCCTTGGTGGCACAATGGTTAAGCATTTGTCTTCTAACCGAAAGGTCAGCAACTGGAACCCTCAAGCAGTTTCACAGGAGAAAAGACCTGGCGATCTTGTCCCATAAAGATTTACAGCCTTAGAAACTCTGAGGAGCGGTTCTACTGTATCCTAGAGTGTCAGAACCTACTCAGTGGCTACTAACAGCTCCTTTAGAAGGGGATAGATAAGAACCTGTGTTCACATTTGCTCTTTTTGAATTTTTTGAGACTAGAGTCATAACAGAGTAAATCAGAACCTATCTACTAGGCAGCTGCTTTCCCAAGTACATAGTAGCCTGGGCCACAGCAGTGACATGGGATGCTTTGGAAGTCTGGTGCTCTCTATTCAAAGTCTAGTATTGTTGATGAGTAATATCAGAAATCAGTTAGAGGAAGAGAAAGAAATGAAGGGGAAAAACCTTAAAGCTGCAGATATCGCAGGAAAGCATGCATATTTATTCACTGCAGAGGCATTAGAAACAGATGTGAGTGTCTTGGAGGACACACTGGCAGTGTGATTCAAGAAACCTGAAAGTATTCATAACTTCTGACTGTACAGCCCTAACTCCTTGAGATAAATCCCAAGAAAATAATTTATTAGGAAAAGTCAAGTCTAGTCTCAGGCACGTGTTTGATACTAGAACATTCTTTGGGATCTGGGGGCAAAAAAAAATCAAAGTAGAAAAGTACAAGTTTACTTGGAAAAATAAACTTTTTCCTGACATTGGGTTCAAGGAGGAGTTTATGATGTGTGACTTTACAGAGGAGACATTGTATGTGAGTGTAATGTCTTCCACTAAAGAACAAGGACATTTAGTGCCCCAAGTGACAACCATTTATTGCCTGAAAGGGCTGGGTGGCCCTGACTCACTCAGTAGCTGGGAACGAGCACTTTCACTAAGGAGGGTCTAAAGCAGGGTTCGCACTCGGGGAGAGTCGAGCAGGGCTCCCTCTGCTGCATTTACCAGTAGCCGTGGAATCCGCTCTGACTCATGGTTACCCCACGTGTGTCAAAATAGAGCTATGCTCCATAGAGTCCTCAGATTTTCAGAAGTAGTTCACCAGGCCTTTCTTCTGAGGGACCTATGGGTGGACTTAAGCTTCCAACCTTTTAGTTAGCAGCCAAGCCTGTTAAGCGTTTGCACTAGGGAGGGAGAACACCCTAAATGCAGGACAGATGGGCAGTGGGAATGTTTCTAGACAGAGTTCTCAAGGCTCTTCAGAAGGGAAAGTGTGATACTTCATACCACGCTTGGGGAGAGACTCATTTGGACAGAAGAAAACTAGTGGGAAGCTTTATCACGGCTATCACAACTGAGCTGCCTCCCAAAGGACGGCCTCCCACTGAAACACGAACCTGGGGGAGCAGAGAGAAAAGGGACGTTGTGGTTTTCTCTGGTGCTGTGGGTGGGCTGCCCGCTCAGGTGATTGGCAGCTGTCTCCAGAGTCACCGTAGGAAACAGAACAGCAATGTGGCCTTCCTTGTCTTCTGTCTGAGCCAAGTCGCCTCAGGGGACAGTGTGCAGGCAGCTTAGCAGTTTGTCCTATTGTTAATTTTATTTTTATTTGGTTATTTTTACACTGAGCGGGTAAGCCAGGGTTGAATTTCGAGGTGCTTTCAGTTGTTTATCTTTATTACCTGCAGGGAAGGAGAAGGTGTGGATGTATGTGTGTGTGTGCTGTGTGAGTAGGGGATGGGTTAAATACCCAGGTGGCAGGAGCCCACTCAGACTCTTTCCCTGGGAATCCTTTTCTTAACTCAGGGCAAATGTGGCAGGGAGGGGGTCTGATAAAACAGCACCAAGTGAAAGTTCTGAGCCCTTGAATCCAAGAGCCTTAAAATCAGGATTAATGTGGATCTGATTTTCCTCAGAGAAAAGTGATTCCAGCAGCTTTTATGAATGAATCCAGTTTCTTACCCCTTGACATGAGTGTCATGATTACACCAGTGTGTTTTACCTTGTCCTGATCTTGAGTTTGCCCTTTACTAACATGGAATGTCACCCTTGGTGGAGTTTGAATTTTTCCCAGGTGAATAATGGATTGGGGAAGCCACAGATTGGGCAAAATCTAGGAAGTTCTGGGAACTCTACGCTTGTTTATGGAAAATCAAGGTCTAGATGATCCTTGCTACCATCAACTCAGCCAGGGGAGGGGAGTCAAGCTAAGCACGAGTCTGGACATCCTCAGCCTGGTGACTGGGGTCCTCCTTGCTCCCACCCTCTGCACACTCCTCTCTCACAGAAAAGCCATGTGATGGACAGCATGAACAAGCTGACTCGAATGCTGGACTACCTGCACCAAGAGGTGAGGCCTGTAGCTTCCACAGCTCTGTAGCACCAAAGACCCTGAGCTTCCTCACAGGAACCTTTGACAGCCAAGAGAAAGTTGCCCTTTCAAGAGTGGGAGGGAGAGTTCTGAGTTTATTCTCAAAAGGCCTCCTGCAGGATGGGAAAAATAAACTCTTTTGAGAGAGATCAATCCCTAGGGAAAGGGAAAGCTGTGGAGGAGCCAGTCTTTTCACTCTTTAAAAGAAATCATGGATCAAATATAGAGCTTTCTACTCTTGCAAGGGATATTTGAGAGAGACTTCTGAGGAGGAAGAAGGTATAAAGTGCCCTTCCTCTCAGAGGACTTGGTGGCCCTGTTCTTTCCTGGGGTCACTCTCTGACTGAATCTGGAGCAATGAGAGCTTTGAGGGGGCCTGAGAGCCTTCAAGGCTTCCCTTTTGGAGTGAACGTGATGAATATTGAATATTTTGGAGGGCCTAAGGGGCCACTCTATGGCTCTCACCTTCCCATCTGCTCCCTTGGGTGGCAACTCTCTGTCAGAGAGGATATGCAGATCTGGCTACTGTAGGCTTGTTCCTCATTGGCATCATGGTGGGGAGGTGCCTTGCCTTGATGAAGGATGGTGAGTAATGTCTACCTGAAATGCTTTGGATGGAGCCCAGCTGAACACCTCCCAAAGAAGTTTGCCTGTTTAACAAAGGAGAGGTCTATCATGCTCAACCAGAGCCCAGACTAGGCTCAAATCAGAGCTTCCAGAGAGGCCTCTGGGCAGTGATGATTACTTTGGGAATGCTCACCTTCTTCTCTCTTGTGTCCTCCTAGGTCCCCAATGCATTTGTGAACCTGGTGGATCTCTCTGAAGCTATGGGAGTTTCTCACTGGCATCAGGGCACTAGGCTCAGGTAAACAGGGAATGGAATTCAACCAACATTTGTTGAGTGGCTACCATGTGCCAGGCACTGACTAGGGCACTCATGGGCATTAATTCTATGAGGGAATTTAAACAAATGGAGATTCAGAGAGGTTAAGTAACATGTGCAGGATCACACAGCTAGTCAGTGGCAGAGTCAGAATGGAAGGAGGGGGAAGGCCCATGCTGAGTATGTTTTGGGTACTGAGTTTAAAGGATGAAATTTTTGGTCTGGCTGATAGAGAGCCAGATGATCTACCTCTGCAGAGTGATTTGAGAGTTAAACAGTGGGTTTGACCACTCATTTCTAAATCAAGAATCGTTGCTTCTGGAAATTAGAAAGAAAATAATTTAACCTAAATGTAGTTCACCTTCACAGTGTGATTCCCATATATTCCTGACAATTTCCATAGAATTTAAACTCTTTAGACCCAAATCCTACAAATTCTAGTTTTGCACCTAGAAAAGAAGTTCATGTGGTAAAAATCAGGGCAGAGACAAATAGAAATGGTGGCAACAAGAAGAAGGAGAGAAAGAAGGCTTAAGAGGGAAAGGAGGCATTTGAGGAGGAAGGAAGGTGAAAGGAATAATGAGTAGAGGGAGGAAGGATAGAATATAGGTTTCAAGTGAGAGGGGCAAATGAGGGAGGGGTAGACCAAGAGACAGAGCCTGTCTCCACCTCCCACTCCCATCCCTGAGGGAGGGGTGGGTGGGGAATAAGAGCTCCGTGGTGTACTTTCCCACTCTATGCTTTGTTCACCCTAACATTTGCTCCCTTCCTTTTCATGCCCCTCTAGGACTTCCAAGTTCTTCTTCCCTACTCCCTAAGCAACTCCCAGGTCCCACCACCCCTTCCCCTGACAATGGGGTGGGGGGTAGGGAGATGTCTAACAGCACCCTGGATTGCACCCAGCTTTCTCATTTCCTCTTTCTTTCTTTCTTTTTCTTTTTTATTTTTATTGTGGTGAAAACATACACAACAAGTCAACCAACATGACAACTTCCACATTCACAGCTCAGGGACACTGATGACATTTTCCATGTTGTGCCACCATTATTGCTACCCTTTTCCAATATATTCCACCACCATTAGCATAAACTCAATGCCGCAAACAAATCAAATGCTTTCCCTTTTTCCCTCCGTCCTACCCCTGGTAACCACCAATAATAAACCACTAATATATAAATATATATTTCAACCTATCTAGGAATTTTCCCTCCCTCACATCCCTGGTCTCTCATTTCCTCTTGTTCTACCTGCAGCCCCCCCGTAGAATCCTGCAGATGCATAATGGAGACTTCAAAGTTGTCCAGGGTTGTAAGGCAGTGGTTGTATCAGGTGAGCCCACCTGGGGACACTGTGTTTCTTTCTCATGAGGACAGAGTGACCATGGAGGAAAATAGGGATGGAAGCAAGAATTAGGGTACAATTCAACCAGTGCTAAGTTTGCTAAGGTAAGACTGCTCCAACTGAATTCAGGCCTGAGAGTCAGGAACCAACGAGAGCTATTCTCAACTCACTTCCTAATGACCATGTGATCCTAATGACCACAGTAGGAATCTGGGACAGAGTGGGGTGGAGGGGGGACTTCAAGTAAAATATGGTGGAGAACTTTGTGAATGCATTCTGAAAGGGTCTTGATAATCATTGTCGCTTGTACTGCTGATCTGTGGCCAGTAAGCTGGTTTTTCCCGAGCTGTGCCTGTACCCCAGACTACAACTCAAGGGAACAGTCAGGGCTCCTGAAGATATGCTTTCCAGTATACAGAAGAGACCCCAGGAGAGTGTGATGGCTCATGAAAACTATCATTGCAAGCAGCTCAAAGCAAAGTTCCTACTGCCTTGTTTAACATGATGGTTTTGTTTAAGAAGAAAGTTATATTTGAAGTTGTGAGGCACGTCTCTTACTCTAGAAAGTACCACAATTGTGTGTGTGTGTGTGTGTGTGTGTAACTAATGGCACATTCCTCTACAGAACTTAGCTCTTGAGGAGACCATGGCATAGGGTCCCTAGCCAGGTGCTGGGTAGGCTTATATTTCTTAAGCTTCAAGAGAATATATTTCAGGTCTACTTTTGGTATTACCTGACTGCTGAGGCATCAGAGGAGAACAAAACCCCAACTTAGTTCCTCACACAACCCAGAAATGTGAAGCAAGAGAGAGCTTTGGAATTGCACTGAATTCCAAACAATGTGTAAAAGCTAATTCCCATCATCACTAGACAGGGCAGGCTCCGCCTTGCTCACTTCTGATTGCCTCTCTACTCTCCTCCTTTAGGAAACTTGGGAGAAGCTCCTGGCCTCTAGCAAGTATAATGATCAGAAGTCCTTCTCAGTTGTTTTCCAGCCTCTCTTCTCTGAGACAGCCCTATCACCCCTCTCGGTGAGTAAGGCCTATAGGTGAGGCACACAGGGAGGAGGCCTGGGCCACAGGTCTGCTCTCTGCCTTCCCTCTCCTACTCCTCACCCCCGCAGCCCAACCCAGTCAGTATCACTGGACCCAGGATATGTCATCTAAGGGGAAAATGCTGTGATATTCTTATACTTTCTTTTATCGTTCCCCACAGGGTTAGATAGTCCCCATGAGGCAGTTTCTTAGAGGCAGGGCAGCCCAGAGCTCAAGAGCATGGGTTCTTAAGATCCATGGTATCTGATCCTTGGGCAGTTGTTTCAACTCTCTATGCCTGTGTTCCTTATCTGTAAAATCAGGATTGTTATCAATACCCCCTACCTCTAGAGTAGGGAGCTCTGGTGGCTTAGTGCCTAAGGCATTTGACTGCTAACCAGAAGGCTGGCAGTTCAAACCCACCAGTCACTCCTCGGAAGGAAGGTTGGGCAATCTACCTCTGTAGTGTTACTGCCTCGGAAACTCAAGGAGGGGTCATTAGGAGTCAGGCCTGACTCGACGGCACCTCTAGAGTGGTTGTGAGGGTCATGTAAAGCAATATATATACAGAACTGGGAACTGTCTCAGGCACTTGGGAAGCACTCAGTACTTCTTGGCTATTGTGATCACTCAGGGCAGGATTTCCAAGGGCACCAGTCACAGTTCCCCCTCTGCACTCTCTGCTACACCCATCCCTGCAAGGGATGGTAGGTTCCAGTGGCCCCCTGGGTCACTGGGTAAACATTCCTTGCTCCAGTGGCCACCCAGACCATGTAGTACTTGGAGCCTTGGAGACTCTAAGAGCCTGATTCCTGACTGTTGCAGTCATTGTGCCTCCTCCAGGATAAAGACATTTAAAGAAATGCATTAAAAGAAGGAGGAGGAATATTAGCTTCTCATCCCCTCCATTCTCCTTCTACTCAGACCATACCCAGACCACTTCCCTATCATTGGCTCTTTCTGTTCACTTCAATTATGTGGAATCCATGAATATGGAGCAATCAGAGGCTTGACCCGCTCTTGTAGGCCCCGTTCCTCCAAACCCTGACCCTGGATGGCCAACCTATAAATGCTTACAATTGTTGATAGAGGGTGGTCCTGAAGGAAGAGTATGGACGGTTCCAGGACCCCCTTTTCCACACCAGGGAAAAATATGTGTTGGAGACAGGCCTATCACATCCCCTTTTGGGGCCCAGAGGGGTTCCTTTCTCACCTGGTTCTCTTTCAGGAGGACCCAACACTCCAGGATCCCACCACACTTGCCCTGAACCTCTGGAATAACATGGTGAGTGGGCCTGGGACCATGAGTCAGAGTATGGGCCTCCAGAAGGAGGGGCAAGCTCTCCACCACAGCTCCACTGTGCTTCTTGCTCTGACAGAGGGGCTGCAGGATGCTAATAGATCCATGGATGATGTGTGTGGGCTATGAGGGAAACTTCTCACACTGTAGGGACAGCCAGCTCTGACCACTGGGAGTTTGACCTTCTGATCCCAGAGACTAGGCCACAGCCCACTGGGGAGGGACCTCTCAGTGAGGCTTCAGGCCTGCTCTTCTTAAGGGCAGGCAGTTTTCTCAGAGTCCATGTGAAAGGCTTCACTCTGGTGGAGAACTAGGGAGAAGTGAAAATAAGGGAGAGATTGGGTGCCTTTATACCCTAGTGTCTTCTCAGAGCCACAGGTAAGGGAGGAGAGTCTCTGCATTCACTTCCTTGATTCTCTGGTGTGTTGGCCTTAAATGCGGTTGCAGAGGGTAAAAGTATGCTGCTTACCAAATGGTTGGAGGTACAAGTCCACCAAGAAATGCTTTGCAAGAAAGGCCTGGGAGTAAGTTGTTGGGCCTATAGGCTCAGGACCGTTGTCATGGGAGGCATCAAACTCAATTGGCATAACATAGTACACAAAAAATTGTTCTACATTCTACTTTGATGAGTAGGGAGTGGAGTCTTAAAAGCTTGCAAATGGCTATTTAAAATGCAAGTATTGGTCTCGCCTCATCCGGAGCAAAGAAGAGTGAAGAAAACCAAAGGCACAAGGAAACAATCAGTGCAAGGGAATAGTGGATCATGGAAACCTCAGCTTACATGACCCTAAGAGGAGAAGAACTAGATGGTGCCTCGCTACTAAAGCCAACCACTCAGAAAGGGATAAAAATTTGAGATCCTGGATAGAGTGGGAGAAAAATGTGGAACAAAACTCAAAAACATAAAAAAGACCAGGTTTACTGATCTGATAGTGACTGGTGAAACACCCAAGACTATGGCCCCTAGTTGCTCTTCAGGCCTGGAATTGAACTGACTCCCAGAGCTTAACTTTCAGCCAAACAACAGAGAGGTCTACAAACTGAACAATTACAGCAGAGAGGTGTATTCCTAAGTATAATCAACCATGGGAGATCAGAGGGCAATATTTGCACAGGGAGAAAGCTCAGAAGGCAGGAATGCATAGGAAAGAAGGACACAGGGAAAAGGTAACCACAGGAAGAAAATGGAAAGAGAGTTGCTACATTGTGGGGATTGCAATCAATGTCACCAAACAAAACACTACAAACTGTTGAATGGAAAAAGAATCTGCTCTGTAAACTTTCACCTACCCTAATCACAATCAAAAGTTTTGTTTTGTTTTTAAAAAGACCTGGTGTTATGTTGAAAAAAAAAAAAAAAACAGCCACTGAAAACCGTATAAAGTATAGTTCTGCTCTGACACGGACCAGGCAGTGTTTTGTTCTGTTGTACTTGGGACAGAGCCAACTCGATGGCACCTAACAACAACAACAACTCTGACACACATGAGGTCACTATGAGTTGGAATTGACTTGACAGCAACTGGTAGAATGCCTATACACATAGATACACAGAGCCTCGAATCAGGGCTGCCCTCATGATAAGGAGCAGAAGTGTTTAGCAGAATTACTGGACATGGGTGTCCAGCCTCCACCCACTTTTCTCCGCTAGCCTGGGGCCAGGACACAGGAGGGTTCTCTGTTGTGCAGTCCACAAAGCCATGTGTAACTGGGAATAGGCCACATCAGTGTCTGTCCTCCCTGACAAAGCTCTCAGATGTGCGTGAACTTGGGGGCTAGTGAAGAAAAAGCTCCGCACACCTGCAGTGTTTATGCAGTGGCTGTGAGCAGCATTGTTTCTGGAGCTGGCCCAGCTGAATGAGACCTCTCTGCCGAAGCCCAAGTTCATGGCATAAAGTTGAGGAGCAATTCTTTCTTTGAAATATAATCTACTCACTATGTCCTTTTGGCCATCACCTCAACAATTTGGGTTAATTCTTGGACACTAGTAGTTTTGAGGCACTAGTAGTTTTAGGAGCTCTGGTAGCATAGTGCCTAAGGCACTTGACTGCTAACCAGAAGGCTGGCGGTTCAAACTCACTAGCCACTCCTTGGAAGGAAGGTTGGGCAATCCTACTTCCGTAGAGATGCTGCCTCGGAAACCCAAAGAGGGGTCGCTATGAGTCGGGGCCGACTCGACGGCAAATAACAATAACAGTAGTTTTGAGGAGACCTAGCTTCAGGCAACTTGATTTCCAGGTCCTTTCAGCCATCCCTCACCCCCACCTTATGCCAAACCATGTGCAAGGTGCTAGAGCTACAGGGGAGCATAAGTAAGATTCTGTGTCTGCTCAGGAATTGCTCACAGTCAAGTGGGAAGTCTCCCCTAGAAAGAATTTTTAAGGTCATTCCACACTCCTCCCACACTCTAGTTAATTTCATGGTAGCAGAGAGGCTGTGCAGAGAAGATGCAAGCAATTAAGGGACCAAAAAGTGAGTTGAAGCACAAGGACCCAAACCAGTTGTCCCTAGAGTAGAAAGTAGTGTTCATACATTTGTGTGCAGCACAGGTGACAGGAGAAAGAGAGGCGTAGGAGATATTATTTGAAGTACCACATTCTCCATCCTGACTGAGGACACAGGAGGACAGAGGGTCAGAGCAGGTACAAAGGGGATTAAATGGAAGCAGGAAGCATATGTTTTTGTTAACTGCTGTTGAGCCAGTCCCAACTCATGGGAACTCCACGCACAACAGAATGAATCACTGCCCAGTCCTGCACCATCTCTGTGATGAGTTGAGAATCAGACCATGTGATCCACAGGATTTTCATTTGCTGATTTTGAAAACTAGATTGCCAGGCCTTTTTGCTAGTCCATCTTCATCTGGAAGCTCTGCTGAAACCTGTTCCACATCATAGACATATGTAAGCCTCCCCTGACAGACAAGGTGGTAGCTATGCATGAAGGTCATTGGCTAGAAATCACACCTGGGTCTCCCACATGGAAGGCAAGAATTTTACCACTGAAGAGACATTTAGGATAAGACTCCTAATGGAAATGGGTTTGTTGGGAAAACCTATGAAATTCCTTTCCTTAAGATTCTTTAAAAATAAGCTTTGTTATATTCATTGTACCAGAAGCATCTAGGTGAGGCTTTCAATGTTTATTTCAAGATTCTATTATTGATTATATTCTTAAAACATTGAGGAAGAAAAGAAGGTGGACCAGATCAAAACTTAGCCTCCAAGCCAGGCCCATTCAACACTCCTTCTCAGAAAAGCCCTGAACGTCCTGGCTGAGACCTCCCTGTCCATGTTGTCTAGGAGTGTGCACCATCAGAATAAAACTGAAAGAAGGCTGGGGGCCCAGCTCCTCTCCAACACTTGAGTGAAAGGGTTACCACTCCTTTTCCCAAAGATTAAGCTAATTATACCCCTTATCTGACTCTCCTTCCATTTGGGTTAACAGCTAATCTCAAGAAGGGTAAAGTTCTTTCCTTGGCTTCTTGTCACTGGGACATAGACTCTGGGATAATATATTGCTGAAGAATGTGAAATTCACAAAAGGTGACAGAGCCAGTGACTGTAGCCTCCGCCCTCTGTATCCCCTGTCAAGATCCTCAGAAGGAGAGATGAGGGACAAAGATGCCATCTGAGCCCAGTACCTGTGGGCAGCAGGGCTGACAGCAAATAGATCATCAGGGTCCCAAACAGTATGTAACAGCATGTGGAGTAGAAAATCTGTAATCACTCAGAACCATTGTCTTCTAAAAAAATGTCTATGTATTTATAATGAACAGTTAAAAATAACAAAAGGAACTTTAAAAAGCATCCCTCTGCATCTAATTATTCAACCCTTTTATTTTCCTATCTTCCCTTTTACGTAAGTTTATAATCTGCTAGTTTCCCCTGCTGTCATACCATATGTTCTTAGTAGCCTTCATGATTATCATTTAAGTAGCTGCCTATATCAGAGCTGATACCATCATCCTCATTCCCAAATCACTAGCCATTCTAATTGTTGGGGAATGTGTGGACTGTGCTGGGTTTCATGTCACTATAGCTCTGTTTTCCAAGTAAAGACATGGGGACCTCACCCAGGACCTATAACTTGATCCACTCTCAGCTTGTGGAAGGAGTTCTCAGGTACCAGGGTTTGTTTCCATTCTACTAGACACAGGTTATGTATACCAGAGGAAAGGAGCCTTGGGGAAAGAACTATATGCTTTACATAACCTTCCTTCCCATACTTGCTCTCTTCTCTATGGGAATTGCAATATGGACTTGGCCAGAAGATGGACCACAGGGAGAAGGGAGAGGAGCCAATGGATAATTAGCCCCCTGGATGCTCAAGAAGCAACACTGAGAGACATTTTGTTCAATGCGGGATATGGGTGACATAGTCCCAGCTCTGCCCTGGCTAACTAGGCCCCACCTTGACCTCACTAATGCTCAGTGTACTCTCTTGTAACATCATAAGGAAGTCTCTTCACAGTCTAAAAATGAGTGATTGCTCTCACATGGTGGATGTCCAACTTGAGCCTGTATCAGAATCACCTGGAAGGCTTGTTAACCACAGATTTTTGAGTCCCGCTTCCAGAGTTTTTGGAGATTCTATAGGTCTGGGGTAGGGTCTGGAAATATGCATTTCTAATTACTTCCCAGGTGATGCTGACGCTGCTGGTCCAGAAATCAAACTGGTAACTCGTGGTCTAACGAGTCTTGCTCAATGGTACCCTGGAATACTGCTACCTGTATAAGACCTATCTGTTCTAAGGATATATCATCATTTTTTTTTTTTTCCTAGATGAAGCCAGCAGGAAAGAAGGATGAGCCAATCAGTGCAAAAGAGAGGAGGCTAATGAAATGTCCCACTCAGGTAGGTAGAAACTGGGCAAGGAGGACATCTCATGCTGAATTGGTAGGAAGGCATAGGGTCACCAAGTGGGGGTTGCTGTGAAATTAGGGGTCTTACCCAACCAAGACATTAGGTCCATTAGAGTCTTGGGTCTGTTCTTCCAGGCCTGGGTATAACTTTGCTCATGTTGCTTTTATGTCTGGGCCTTGAGAGCAGTTTTAGTAGAACTGAGGGCCCCTCTGCATCTGTGGGGGCTGTAGGAACAAAGCCACAGCTCACCAAGCCCCAAATGCAACTCCCACCCATCTTCTCTATGTCCAGGCCCTGTGCTTCAGATACCCTTTCTAGATTTCTAGACCTTCCTCTACCTCTGGTGTGAAGAAGGCAGGGTATCTGAGTATGTAAGTACTCTTGAAGATGGATCATTTTGCCAAGTCTTACATAATTGCCTAATATGTAGTAGGTGTATAATTAATGTTTCTCTTCTCATTATTTAGTGCTAGTTAAAAATCTTAGTTTTCTTGATGAATTGGTACGCTTTTTGCTACTAGACAACAAGAACTATGTAATTCAACCTGTTCTCTTCGATTTGGTTGCCAAGTTTAACTTAAGTGCTCCTCTCACTGAAAAGTACAATATATGTTTAGCCAGGTGCAAGAACCTCTAGGTTAGAGAGCAAGAGATAACTATTGCAAATAGAAAATTTCAGGGAACAAATGAGCAGCACAGAGAAGAAGAGTCAGAGACTGTTTGGTCATCATTTAATGAATTGTTCCAAATTGGCCAATGTTATTGCTGGATAATAAAGGCTGATAATTAAGGGGTATGTTACCTTTCTCTACAGGAGAAGCCCTATCTATTCACCTACAGGAACAGTAACTACCTGCTCAGCTCATCACAACTTCATAAGATGGCTGAGGTATGGAAAGACTTTCTGTAATTGACAAATATGCAAATGAACCATAGGCTGTACATCTTGTTGAGTCTTTGGAAACTTCCCACATGGTTCTTTATGTCCTGGAACCCCACTGTCTCTGGGGGTGCTGTGGGTTCAGGGGTAATGGAGGCTGTCACAAACATCTGATATCTAGGCTGGGGAAAGGTGTAGGATCACATGTATGGCTGTCCCTTGTTATGTTGAAGCAGGTCTACCCTAAAGGTCTTATCTTTAGAAGAGTCTTACAATAGTATCCTATGGCTTCATGGAGTGTGTTGGGATTGCTCACCACTACCTGCTCCCAAACTGTTCTGATGTCAGAGATCTGATCCTTCCCAAATGTCTGTCAAGTCCTTTAAAACTCATTGGAGTCATTAATCTGAAAAGAATGTTAAGAAAAGGCAAAGCAATGTGGCGAAGCCTGAAACCAAATGGCATGGAGACCAAAAGGCCTCTACAGTCAGTCCACACCTGTAAGAGCACTTCACACTTACTCATATCTTGCTTGTTGCTTATTTCATGAGGCTCTTTCTGACGCTTCCTGTTGATATTAGATAGGGTGCCCTGCACTCCTCTGAGGAACCAAGGATGAATGTCTTTATTCTCAGATGACTGAGGACCCATGTGGGTGGAGATGAATTTGGTCCTAGTGATGTCCCTGCCTCCCTATTGTGCAAAAGAGGGTGAGAACTACTCCAAGTGGTGGATGAAAGCTGATGACCTAGGCCTCCACCATGAAGCCTAAGAGATACAGTACAAAAGATTCTTGATTCATAAACTTGCCCCACATTTTCTAGCTAATATCATAGCAATGATGATACATATAAGAGGCAGTATGGCAAGGTACTTAGCCTCTCTGTGACTTGTCTTTTTCCTTTTGGAAATATACCTACCTCATAGAGTTATTATTAAATTAGAATAAGTTAATAAGTATTACGCTCTGGGAATAGTATTTGGTATACCATGAGTTATGTATGAATGTTGCTGTTATTTTCATCTGATAAGAGGAAGCAATATGTTTTCTCAGGATATATTTATTGAGTACCTACTATGTACCACCAGAACATAGTAAGCTCAGTGAAGGCAGGGACTCAGAGTAGGTACTTAATAACTATTGGATGGGTAGATGGATGGATGAATACCAGGCATAGGAGATGAAAACATAAATAATATACATTCCTTGTCCTAAGGAACTCAGTCTGGTGGAGAAACAGATAAGCTAACCAGCAATTACAACACAATGCAATACATACTGTAATTAAAGTTTTCACAGGGCTTTCTGGGAATGCAGCAGAAGAGAAACTAACTCAGACAAAGAGAAAGTTGAGGACTTCCCAAAGAGTACCCATGACCTCAGCTTTGAAGAATGACTAAGTTTGAGCCAGGTGGACAGGTGTGTGAGAAAACTGATAACATACATTACTGCTTGGGCAAAGGCATGCAAGTGTGGGACAGCACAGTGAGTTTAGTCAGGGGCTGGTAACTTGAAATGTCTGGAGGCCTCTTAGGACATGCTAGGGAGAATGTACTGATGTTAACATGGAGTAATAATTTATTTGTTCAGCCCACAAATACTTTTAGAGCATCTACTGTGTGCCAGGCACTGTTCTTGGCTCTGGGGATACAACAATATGAAACAGATAAAACTCTATGCCCTCACTGAGCATGTGGACAAGGGAGTGAAATAGTTAAGTTGATTTAAAAAAAAAAAAAAAACTCGGAATGGATTCAGAGGGCCAGGGAAGAAGTAAACAGGACTAAAGATGATGCGACTGACAAACACTGCAATATTCCGGGCAAAAAAACAACAAAGGCCTAAATAACTAAACTTAGGCTGAAGTCAAGGGACTGGAGACAAAGAAATAGGTTTGGGAAACATTTGGAAAGGACATTGTGGACAATTAAATGTGATTGTTCAGGGAGAGGGAAACATCAAAATGGATAGCTAGGCTTTTTTCTTTACCTTAGGTGATATTTTTCCAAGACAGAGATCCTACTTCTCACCCAGTTTCCTAGCTTACAAGCTCCATTTCATGATGCCACCTGGAAATTCATGTTATTTCTGTGTACATCTCATTGCAGGTGAGAGAAGGAGCACAAGTCAGCTGTCCTGACAAGGATCCCTCCAACCTGATTCCAACCTCAGGTACATAGCTCGAGTTGAGTGATTTTTTTTTTTTGGTTACATTGTAAAATTTTATTTGTAAGTAAGGAAAGTTCATATAAAAATAACAATAGAAAGTACAGTACATTATATACACAAACCCATAACACAGGTGTTTATTAGGACAATCATGATATATATATTATAGGTGATATGTGTACTGTGAAGGAGGTCTGGTGGCATAGTGCCCAAGGTATTCGACTGCTAGCCAGAAGGTTGGTAGTTCAAACCCACCAGCCACTCTGCATAAGGATGACTGGGAAATCTACTTCCGTAAAGATTTACTGAACTCATTAGAGAACTGAAATCATCAAAGTAATAGCCATTTTAATACAACAAGGACTTTCCACACAATTTGAAATCCTCCTGAGAGGCTTTATAAGGACAATAGGAATAGCTTTACATGTATACGTGTAAATTCATGACTGTGTTTGAGTTATTCTTTAACGAAAATATTATAGCAACATCATTATCAGAAAGTATTTATTGAGCACTAATCACGTGCCAGGCCATGTTCTACAAAGAGCACAATGTTAGTTGAGTGAGTCGATGTCATAGTTCCTGCCTTTAAGCCTTGACAAGATTAATTTGTTCCCCAATAAGCAAAAGTACTAAACGGAAAACAAAAATAGCCAATTGACTATCCTTGTCAGTGTCGTTTGCAGAATGTACTCAAACACCACACAGAGAAGGAGAACAAGCCATATTATAAACATGCCATATTCACTGCCTCTTAGGATTTCTAAAATGACTAATGTGGGCCTTGAAAGGGACTCATGGTTGTTCAAGATAGAGGTCAGCAACTTTCCCAAGAGGAGCTGTCAGAGGGCTGAGTCTTTCTGAGCCAGCATGGGAATGAAGGCTGTGTGCGAGGTCACATGGGGGCATGTGACCTTAAAAAGTCATAGGAAGACCACATGGTGACCCACATGAGGCACAACATCAGTCCAGGAGCTTTCTTTGTAATGGTATTACAGGTTTCCATACTTAGTCCTGCCACATGATTCATTTGTTCATGTGTGTGTTCATTCATTTATTAAATAATTGTTAAGTTCCTCCTACATATGTGCCTTCCAGAAGCTCTGGTGGCATAGTGCCTAAGGCATTTGACTGCTAACCAGAGGGCTGGTGGTTCAAACCCACCAGCTACTCTTCGGAAGAAAGGCTGGGCAATCTACTTCCGTAGTGATACCACCTGGGAAACCCAAGGAGGAGTCGCTATGAGTTGGATCCAACTCAACAGCAGTGAGTTTGGTTTGGTTTATGTGCCTTCCAGGAGTTTACAATGTAGTCCTTCCAGCACTGCTCATAGTGAAGTAAGTTTGGCCATATCACATTGAGTAGAAAGAACTTTTCAGGGATGGGATCTTTGTAGTCAGATTGTCTGACTTTTACTTGTGCTGAATATTAGTAGAAGGGGCTGGTTCTGGTGTAGTGGTTAAGGCATTTGGCTTCTAACCAAAAGATCAGCAGTTTGAACCCACCAGCCACTCCACAAAAGAGAGTTGAGACAGTCTGCTTCCATAAAGATTTACAGCCCAGGAAACCCAATGGGGGTCGCTATGAGTTAGAATAAACTCAATGGCAGTGAGTTTTGTTTTGGTTTGAATATTAGTGCAGTAAATAAATGCCCTGACTTAGCCTTTCCTTCCCATCTTAGTTCTACACACTCAAAATAAGTCAAATGACTAGAATCAAAAATCTTCTCACCAAAACTTTAGTATGCAACTTACTCTTGTTCTAAGTTGCAGAATAATGGAATAATGATATAGATCTTATACTACATAGCTATCTGTCTCTCTCTCTCTCTCTCTCTCTCTCTATATATATATATATATACATCTATAGATAATCTTGGAGCTCTGGTGGCGTAGTGCCTAAGACATTTGAGCTAACCAGAAGGCTGGCAGTTCAAACCCACCAGCCACTCAGAAGGAAGGTTGGGCAACCTACTTCTGTAGTAATACCACCTTGGAAACCCAAGGAGCGGTCGCTATGAGTCAAATCTGACTCGACGGCAGTGAGTTGTTTTTTTTTTTTTTTGTATATATAATCTGTGTTCACTATATATACACATATACCATATACATTTTTATATATGATATGTGACCAATATATATAGTCTTTAGACTTTCCTTTTATGCTTGTTGACAGCTCATTCCATTGGTTAGTTTACTGGCAGGAATTTGGAGCAGAAATAAATTATCAGCTTCATACCTAGGTCTTTCTAAAGGAAAAACCCTTACTCACAGTGATATACAAAAGCATTTGAGTATGTTTTAATAGTTATACTCTTTACAGTGAAATAATATCCATCCTCTTTTTTAATCTTATCACTCTGAAAGGATGAGCTATAAAGCATTTTACAATCTTTGTAGATTATGTTGGTATCATGGCAATGATAACCAACCAGTCCATTAGAGTGTATCTCAACATCTTAAAAGTCAGATAAAATGTGAAACTATTTTTTATTCCCTGACCCTGGAGATTATTTTGCTTATTGGCACTGCAAGATACAACAGCAAAAAAATCTCAAGACATTGAGGTCTGAGATATCTGGTGATAGGAGCTGTTTGAATACACAGATAGATAGTTTTAGACCGCTCTGATCTAATCAGGTAGGCATGGAACCAAAACATTTGCTGTTATCCATGGGGTGAGTGAACTCTTCAGAGATGAATGGTGAGCCTGCACTTCTGAGTCCTGCCTTTTCTGAGAAGTCTAACTTAGAAAAATACCTGCAACCGACTGGACAAAATTTTTTTAAAAAGTGTTATTTCCAAAAACCTTTATAGCCCCTCTGTCTAGTGTTTCTCTCAAACTAATCCACAGATAATACAGATCTAACCAAAAATGATATTTCCAAATAAAATATTGCCTGCCATTAAACAAGCCATGGCCCTAGAAGCTTGGGTCCCTCCATCTCATCCCACTCCAGAGTCCACGGGCAATGAACCCTTTCTAGTGATCCGTGGGGTCTTTGGGATGAAATATGTAGAATATGTTGTTGTTGTTGTTATGTGCCATCGAGTCAGACCCGACTCGTAGAGACCCCTCTTTGGGTTTCCAAGGCGGTATCACTACAGAAGTAGATTGCCCACCCTTCCAAGGAGTGGCTGGTGGGTATGAACCGTCAGCCTTCTGATTAGCAGTCAAATGACTCAAGCACTATGCTACCAGAGATAGATGCAATTTTTATGACCCATTGGCATTTGATAGACAAACAAAGAATAAAGGGCTCAAAATTTTGCCTCCCAGTCAATGCACACATGCATTTTGTTGAGTGCTACATGCTGTGGGCTTTATAACTTCATAAATGCTAGCCTTCTGGTTAGCAGTCAAGCACCTTAGGCATTATGCGACCAGACCTCTTTAACTTCATAAGTTGTATTATTTTATATTACTAGATGGCCCTCTCTCTAACATGGTTGGAACAACTAAGAAAAATAGATTGTACCTAGTAACTGAGGTGAGATTTTCACAGTGAGAAAAGGTGAAAAGGAGATGAAATATCACAAATAGCAAGGACTAGAATGTAGAGTGGGGAAATTGCCCACTATATGAAAAATTACACCCGGGAGAAAGCTTGGCCTCTTTTGTTTTGTTTTGTGTAACCCAACAACTTAAATTGCATTGGGCTACCACCATAGGAAAAACCAACTTTCTCTCAACTGTCAACTAGGGTTACTCAATCTATTTGCCTTCTGATTTTAGGGACTTGCGTAAAGACTCCTGCAATCATAGTGAACTGTTAGCATGGGTTGGAAACCTTGTTTCTGCCTATGGAATGCTTCAGTGTGTATTTTTCTCATTTTTTAAGGAGTGGCAGTAAGGAGCCAAAGGAGATGTGGCACATTGGTTCTGTATCTCTCCTGAAGCCAAGCCATAAATTTCATGCAAAAGACAAAACTCATAGCATTTGGAAATAAGAGATCTGTAAAGCTAAATATATGCAGCTGTCATTACGAATATAAACCAGAACAGTGACTTCATTTATTGTAAGCCAGTGACTCCTTTCTAGGTCCCTGATGTCATTTCATTGACCTATTTGGCCAAATCGAGTTACTTAAAAGCTGATATGAAAAACATGCAGGTTACAGCACTAGGCGATCATCACACATTAGGACTTTTACTTCATTCTGAGCCATCTGCGTTAACTTCCAGCACAGGCTCTGGAGCTGTTTCTGTAGTCACTGCCTGCTCAAGGGTCTGTGATTTAACCGCTGGTCTCTAGGAGAGACCAGCCCACTGTGCAAGTTCAAATTCACACTCAAGCCACTCAGATGAATAAGTGCTACCCTCCATCATTTAAAACTGTGAGAGGTGTAAAGTTTCTGTTACAGAGTCACCTATTTAACTTTTAATTCAACTTAACACATTTATTGAGCTATGCACAAGGCATGTATTTCTTCAGATAAACACACACTGAAGCATGCCAAAGGCAGAAACAAGGTTTCCAACCCATGCTAACAGTTCATTCACTATGATTGCAGGAGTCTTTACACAAGTCCCTAAAATCAGGAGGCAAATAGATTGAGTAACCCTAGTTGACAGTTGAGAGAAAGTTGGTTTTTCATATGGTAGTCCCATGCAGTTTAAGTTGTTGGGTTACACAAAACAAAACAAAAGAGGCCAAGCCTTTTTCCCGGGTGTAATTTTTCATATAGTGGGCAGTTTTCCCATTCTACATTCTAGTCCTTGCTATTCGTGATATTTCATCATTGTTTCGATGACCTTCTGATAAAAGTCACTCTCTGCAGAAATCTTGATGAGTTAACATTGTTTATCAACCTTCTTTCAAGGTGGTGGACAGTTTGTACCAGATAATGTGTAGCTAATCAGCTCACACAAACTTAATCTTATCACTAAATAGTTGGGTTTTTTTTTTTTTTTCCTTCAATGAGAGCAATTGCTAAAGGGCTTTGCGTATTTCCCTGCTGTGTTTTTGTCATATGTGATGACATTAACAAACCTCAAATCAAGGTCTACAAGATATTAAACCACTAACTTGTATCAGCCTCTGTCTTTACAATAAAATCCAAGATAAATCAAACCTCTCCCATCTCCATTTAGTTCATTTGGCTTGTTATCTCTTGCAGGAAATCCTTCAGAATGACCAACAGGAGGAATTTCACCCCCACTCTTTGAAAAATCAAGCAAGCAATCTATCTGCCCCTACATACATACATCATACATACACACACATAGATATAGTGTGTATGTGTGTGTATGTGAATGTGCTTTCTGTCTGATACAAATTTAGGGGACAGGAATGGCCAGTTTCAGCTGCCTCTTTAACAAACTGTAATATGCTTTCGAAGTAAATCGATGTATCTCATCCACATATACCAATCCCCCAAATTTTCCCCTAACCTTTGCATATTATGGATCCCTGATAGCACAGTGGTTAAAGTACTCTGCTGCTAACTGAAAGGTAGACAGTTCAAACCCACAGGCCACTCCATAGGAGAAAGATGAGGCAGTCTGCTTTCATAAAGATTTACAGCCTTGGAAACCCTATGGGACAGTTCTGCTTTGCCCTATAAGGTCACTAAGAGTCAGAATCAACTGGTGGACAGTGGGTTGGGTTTGGTTTTCATACTAGCTAATGTTTGCAGAATTCACTATATTATGTATAATGGTTGATATTATGATAGTATAGTGGTTAATATCACCAGCAGCTAAAATGAACCACTCTAGAGTTGAGGGGGATGGGTACTATTTTCAATTATGTTGCCTTTTTTTTTTTTTTTTTGGCTCATAGTCTGATTTCTTTGAAAAGAGGCCATTTGAAAGTTTTCAGGGTCAGGCCTAGGGACATAGACTAATGTTGCAGTGGTCTTTGTGATTTGATGTTCTTCTGACAGCATTCTGTAGCTGTGGAGGACTGGGGTAGGGCCAAGCAGGCTATCAGCTTGTATAAGAGTGTGTGTGTAGGGGTGGGTGCTGGTGGAGTTTGGAAAAGAGGGAGGACTTGAAGAAAAATCCTCAGTGGCTCAAAAATCTAACAGCCAGAGCCGCAAACCTGCCTCCAGGCTTTGCAGTGACAGCTACAATTGCATGAGCCAAGGGAGAAAAGCCCTTTTTGAGGTACTCTAGTCTTTACAGCTACAACTGCAAAAATTGATCGTCAACACCTTTGGTAGTTCTCAAAGTATGGTACCCAGACCAGCAGCATCAGCATCACCTGATCAACTCGTTAGAAATACAAATTTGTGGGCCCACCCCTAGACCTGCTACTCTGGGATTGGGGCCAGCAATCTGTGTTTAACAAACCCTCCAGATGATTCTGGTACATGCTGAAGTTTGAGACCCACAGATTTATATATTTTGCACAAACACACATACAAACCTATGTACATATTACTTTGAATCCTGTCATAGGAAAAGGCAGCACAAGGGATAGTTACTTTTCTAATGATGGCACAGCCATAGTGGGAATGACTGGCAGTTCCCCATCTGCAGGCAGCATGGAAGTCAGGTAGACAAGATGTCTCCATGGAAGGAGCCAAGACCTGGAGACCCTTTTGAACACCATTTTCATTAAGTGTTAATTACTGAGCAAGTATAATATACAACCACGATTTGGATTTTGATGGGTGCACTTGGTTATCTGTATTCCAGTTGTATTGAAAGAATCTTTTTCTGTGTTTCACTGCATGTTTTCTAGAGTCTCTTGGCAAAGAAGGCCTGAGAAAGCCTCCTTGCAGACAAGTTTCTGTTTACCCATCTTAAGCAAGAGCTTACTGAAATGACGAGCTCCTTCCCCTGGGGCTGGGCCACTCCCTGGTAAAAACTCTATATTAGGCTTCTTCAAAGTCACAGAAGTTGTTTTGACAATCTAGCAGAGGATTGCTCCACTAGAGACCATGGAAGACGCATCTGAGAGGGCAGATGGCAGCATGGAACTGTCAGGGTGACTACGGGAGTGAGGTATCAGAAGTGCAAGGGAGCCTGTGACTCGAGGGGAACAAGCCACTTATGATAAAGGAATTGTAGATGTAGTCCCCAAAGTGCACTTGAATGCACATGTGTATAAGGTGAAGGGGTAGATAGATAAAGTACAGGTATATGTATGCATTTACCTGTATGGCAATATTCATATTAATCTTCTAACTTAATAGACAGAAAAAAAAACCTGTGGCCCTAATCTACCTTTGTTAGTCTCTTTATACAGATATCACTTAAGCTGTTCCATATAGACATCACATACTTTGCTGTACCCCAGTCTGCCTTTATGCTTTTTCTCTCTATTTCCTGCTCAGAAATAACCCTGTATCACTGTCCTTCACTCTCATCTCATCATATCTCAAGGCTTAGTTCAAATGCTACCTTCTCCATGAAGCCTGCTCTGAGCCATCTCCACCTGACCTCTCAAGGGGAGAGATCTCCCCAGCTCCAGAACTTCATATCACTTTGTACCTCTTCCAGTGTGTATCACTCTATGCTTTGTATTTTAATTATAGCTGTTTCTTTCTTATTTTACCTTTAACTTGTGAGTTTCCTTCACACATTCCCCATTTCTGATCACTGTGTATTTGCCAGAATACCCGGCCCACTGCTTGGTGTTCAGTATGTTTGTCATATGGCTAAAGAGCCTTTCAGCCCCATCACCAAACCCCCAAACCAAATCCTCTGCCATCAAGTCAATTCTGACTCATAGTGACCTTATAGGACATGGTAGAACTGCCCTCGTAGGATTTCCAAGGCTGTAAATCTTTACAGCCTGCTCCTTCTTTCTCTTGTGATGCGGCTGGTGGGTTTGAACCACCTTTTGGTTAGCAGCCTTAATCACAATACCACCAGAGCTCCTAGCCATATCACTGTACCCACTTAAACTCAAGGGATTAAAAATAAGAGTCAGTAATACAAAACCATTTCCCTTTATACTTTAAAGAAACTGAGCTAATTTTTACAGGATATAACATTCTACCCCGGTTATCATTGGATCCTGGGATAGATTAAGTATTGGTTGGATCTTCATCACAAGTTCTTCCTTACTTCCAGATCACACGGGAAAGGGCTAGTTCATGCCCTGGCAGTGATTGCTCATCTTATGTCTGTCAGGGCTCACCAAATGCTAAAAGGCAGACCCGCTCTTAAAGCTGGGCCCACCCTTCAGCCAGGCCCCTGAATCAGTGACACCCTCCAATTGCCCGAGGGAAGAGTCCAGCAACCAGGCGCCATGATGAATAATGTTGAACCTGACTGGCAAAGATGGACTTCTAATCTCTCTGTGAATTGCTATTAGAAACTGACTTCCTCTCACTTTGAAAGATCTTTGTTTCCAGAGGAGATTGGTCTAGGGCTTTCCTTGAACCCTGATCTCCCTTTCACTCCTGCCTGTATTCTTAGTTCATAGGCTGAAGCCTGCTGACATCAAGGTGATTGGAGCCCTGGGCGACTCTCTCACAGTAAGTAACCTGGAATGTAGAAGGGGAGGTGGGAGAGGAGAAGATCTTGATTGATATGAGAACCTGGAGATAAAAATGGAGAGAGAAAAATCTCACTCCTGACTCATAAACATTTGCCATCCCTGATCCTCATCTCCATTTCTCTAACTCTACTTGCCTACCCTGGAATGCAGTAGCATTCCTTGTCTACTTCCATTCTAACTTCCTCATTCCTCTCCCAATACTAGGATGAAGGAGAGAGCAGGCTGTGCCTGCTAGAAGTAGAGGGATCCTAGAGGAAGCACAGCCTGTCAGTGGTGGGGGTAGGATTAGACTAGGTCTCCAGACCAAGTGATAGAATCTTTCAAAGATCTGATGGTTCATTTTTTCCAGGTAGGAATTGAATGGAAGGTACTGAGGAACAAAGATGATGATACAGGGATAAGTGCTAATGGGGGTGGGAAGGGAGTACAGTGAGAAAGCAGGGGTCACTGGAAGAGGTGGAGATACTAAAGATGATACAAGCCCACATCTGCAGCTGCCCCACGCTGATATCCAGGGCTCCACAAAAAGCCTGTGTATTGGTTCCCAGAGGTGCCCAGACACAAGCTTCCCATTCAGTAGCAACTCATTATAGACTAGTCCAGCCTTTGTTCTCTGGGCTAATAGAATACAGGCCCTACAGCTAAATTCTCCCCAGCCAGCTGACACCTGTGGCCTGTTCACATTTCTATTACCGTACTCAGTAGCCTCACAACTAACTCCTATAAAGAATGACTTTGCTTAAATTTAACCAATAAAGAAGATGAAGCTGATAGAGTCGAAACCAAAAACCAAACTCACTGCCGTCGAGTCGGATCCGACTCATAGCGACCCCTCCTTGGGTTTCCAAAGCGGTATCACTACTGAAGTAGATTGCACAACTTTCCTTCCGAGGAGTGGCTGGTGGGTTTGAACCACCAGCCTTCTGGTTAGCAGTCAAATGCCTTGGAAACCCAATGGGTATTGCTGTGAGTTGGAATTGACTAGATGACAGTAAGTTTAGTTTTTTTGAGTTTCTGGACAATGGTTATGAGCTTGTAAATTGGTCCATATTATAATTTAAAAAGATGGTATTTGTGCAGCTGACTGGTATGTACATGGGATTTCATTTTCTTACTATCTTTTAAACTTTACATATGGGAGGTATGTTTATATAAAAGGGTTATAATATGCTTTCTTCTATGAAATGCTTTACAACTTTAAAAAATGAGGAAGCAGGACACTGAAATGTGTCCTTTTGAAAATGTACCCCATAGTATAATTTTCGGAGCACTTTTGCTAGCTTGACTGGGCTTGGTCTGGGCAGGGAATCTTAGAATGAGGCAGAGCTGTGAATGATGCCAGGCATTCCCAGTGATATCAGCCACACTCAGCTCTCACTCGCCTCTGAAAAGGCAGGATGCACTTAAGACTTGGTAGACTCCAGATTCTAGAGTATACACTGATGTTCCTGGACAGGACCAGACCCCAGGCCTTCTGGCAGGTGGGCAGAGATGGGCCTGTGGGGAAAAGCTGAGGAAACTCACTCTCTTTTTGCTCCCTCTCAGGCAGGTAACGGAGCTGGATCCAAGCCTGGGAACATCTTGGATGTCTTGACCCAGTATCGAGGCCTGTCCTGGAGGTGAGTGAGGGTGTGGCAAAGTTCTAAAGACTTCTGAGCATTTTAGAAAATAATTCCTTGAGCTGAGAAATGAGACACCTAGTTCTTTTCTCTAACAAAATCCTCGGTTTAATTTGAAGATGTTTATCAGATTCCTCAGACCACTGCATTCCCCCAAAGCAGGAGCTGAGGCTGAGCAGGAGGGCTTGGGGGAGAAAATGCATGTGTTAGGCTTGGAAAAGGTTCTCTTGCTTCCATTCCTCACTCTGTGATGTGGAATCTCAGAAAGTTGCAGTGGCCTGAGTGATGGACCGATTATCCCTGTGGAACCAGAGTTGTGTGTAACCCCCAGCTGCACAGCTTTATGTGACCTTGGGCAGGTTACCTAACCTCTCTGAGCTTGTCTTCTCATCTTTGGTGTCAGAAATAATAGTCCTGCCTGATAGCACTGTAGTGAAGATCACCAGTAGCAGTTGCTGTGGAGTCAACTAAGACTCATGGTGATCCCACGTATGTCAGAGAAGAACTGTGCTCCACAAGGGTTTCAATGGCTGATTTTTCTAAAGTAGGTTGCCAGGCCTTTCTTCTGAGGTACCTCCAGGTGGGCTTTAACATCCAGTCTTTCAGTTAGCAGCCAAGTATGTTAACCATTTGTATCACCCAGAAACATCATAATGCACAATGAAAGAATTTAAGTGCCCTGCACAGGGGCTGACACAGAGGAAGTGTGAAGGGTAGATGACATCACTTTAAAACAGGCTTCACTTTACAAATGAGGAAACAAGGCTCAGAGAGGGGAAGTAACCTGTCCAAGATCACACAGCCAGAAGGTAAAAGAGCAAGAAGTAGAGTAGATAGTTCGTGACTCCTAATCCAGTGCTTCCCCACATCATGTCTTGCTTCATGTAGACTTGTTCCTGCTCTGACTGCAGCCAGACTCAGGCTGCCACAGCTGTACTAGCAAGCCTTAAGCTTTATCTCTGTGCTTTGAAAGCCTGGCTCATGCCAGTCATGGGTGGGCAGGTGTGTTGTTTCCTCATCCTGAATCTGGCATCTCTATCTGGCACCAGCTTTAACCTGAGTGCTAAAGTTCTGGCAGCCTCCCACATGTTGCTGCAGAACCAAAGCCCAAACATTCTGAAAGCCTTTCAAATTTTCCCAGATGTGCTTGGCACAGAGAGAGGTGAGATGGAAAAGCACAGAATCCAATCAACTCTGGAATGCTACATGTTTTCATGCCTAGAACACATCGGACTTTGATCTCCTTTGCATTTCAGAATTGTCTTGGAAGATACCTTGCTATGTAGACCCTTTAAAAATGGACTTCCCCAAGCCAAACAGGAAGAGAAAAATCAGAGCAAACTTTCAAATTATGTTTTCAATAATAATAACAATAATAAAGCACTGCTGCTAGTCAGTGTAGGGCTGGGCTCTGCACCCAAAGAGGAATCACTTTCTTGGTGGAAGACAAAAGTGAAAGGGCCAACTTGGTTTCTGGGCCCCAATGTCAGAGCTCAAAATTAATTTTTTTTTTTACAAATCTGAGATTAATTTCAATTGTGTTTTCAGGTTTGTAGGGAGAGGAGTTACTGTATTCTGGCTTGTTTTTCCATTTTTCGACTGGGATAATGAAGAAAAGGCCAAGTCCATAGAGTTTTTGTTTTTGTTTTCGTTTTTGCCCCAAGAGAAAGAAGGTCTTTCTTCTTGGTAGTGTCTGAAGTGTTTTGGCCTCTCTGGCATTTTAAGTTTCACTTTTTTTTTTCTTCCCCAAAAATAGTGTCGGCGGAGATCAGAACATAAGCACAGTCACCACTCTGGCAAGTGAGTACACGCTCCCTGGATGGTTTAGGGGCGGCCTGGAGGCAGTTTAAGCTGCACGTTTCAGTTTCAGCTGTTCTCCCTGGAGGCAGCCGAGTTGGGGATGGGCTCACTAGGCTCAGTAGGGGGCGCTGCTTCCCTGAGGCTTTCCCACTTGCTTTGCTGCTTTACAGTGATTAAAACCTTGGAGATTTTTCTTTCTTTCTTTCTTTTCTTAAGAGAGTAAAAGGAATTTTATTTGTCCAAGGAAGGAATAGAGTAAGGGAGGAAAAGAGACCTCAGACCAAATTGTAAAACAAATCACTAAGAAATGATTCAAGAAAAAAAAAAGGAAACCCATTTCTGCTTTGCATAGCATCCTGACTAGAAAGCATTGGACTAGACGTTGGCTTCATTGGGGATCACTTGGAACAAAGTGTTAAATTCTCATGTGTCATCTTATGAAAAGCTGCTATTATAGCAACAGTAAGAGATGGGGTTACAGTTGTTCAGGCTGTGCAAACACAGCCATAGTTGGGGCAGAACATTTTTCTTAAATTATTTCACCATCAACCTGTTGGGAAAGATTTTTTTAAAGCCTGACTACATTCTATGAAGGAGCTCTGGTAGCAGAGTGCCTAAGGCACTTGACTGCTAACTAGAAGGCTGGCTGTTCAAACCCACCAGTTGCTCCTGGGAAGGAAGGTTGGGCAATCTACTTCCATAGTGATACCTCCTCGGAAACCCAAGGAGAAGTCAGCTATGAGTGGGATCCTACTCAAAGGCAGTGAGGTTTTTTTTTTTTTTTTATTGTCAGTTACTTTTCTTGTGAACATCCCTTTATAATATGTTTTTAGAAGCGAAGAAATTATTTGAAATCACCAAGGTTGTGATGAGCCAAAAACCAAACCCATTGCCACTCAGTCAATTTCAACTCATGGCGACCTCATGTGTTACAGACTAGTACTCTTCCACAGGATTTTTTTGGCTATAATCTTTATGGCAGCAGATTGCCTGTCAAGCTTTTCTTCTCTGGTGCTCCTGGGTGGGTTCAGACTGTCAGCCTTTAGGTTAGCAGCTGAGCGCAAACGGTTTGTGTGATGGACAGGTTTAATCTCTCCTTAGGCAAAGCTGTTCAGACTTCACATTTGTAACAACATTTGCTGTTTTTGCTAGTTGCAAATCCTGTTGAATTAAAGTAGGTACAGTGCTGTGCCGCAAGTACTCCCTGTCTTCTTTATTTCTAGGTCTACACACAGAGCTATAAATAAGCTCCCCTATTGCTAGGAGATGGTTTGGGATGCTTTGTGAGCGTGAGTCACGGGGTTATGAGGAGGCCCAGCATATACAACAGCTTGCTGTGCTAATTCCCTTGCTTTTATCAAGGACAAGATGATTGGAAATCATCTGGCTCAAGATCTTTCACCAAAAGTGATCCACAGAGGATTAAAATAATATCCCTCCTGAGGGACAGTGTACTCCTCAGGTGGACCTCCCTGACACAATTAGTCCAGCAAAGAGAGATTGCCTATTTGGGCTTCTCCCAAAGCTGGTGGTGGAGTGCCTAAGACATATGACTGCTAACCAGAAGGTTAGTGGTTCAAACCCACCAACTACTCCTTGGAAGAAACAGTGGGCAATCTACTTCTGTAAAGATTCACTGCCTTAGAAACCCAATGACTCGATGGCAGTGGTTTCTCTAAAGAAGTGGGAAGATAGCTCTGACTGTAAGGGTTGCATAAACTGGGGGACAGTAACTATGTGGAGATGGGTTACAAAAACTGTAAAGACATGGGGTCACAAAAGAACCTTAGTTCAACCCCCTATTCAGTTTAATCCAGCAACTACTCCAGTGCTGGGTGCTGGAGAGATAGGGGAATGAGGCAAAGTCCCTACCTTGATGACTTTGTTGTTGTTGTTGTTATTGTTGTTATGTGCCGTTGAGTCGGAACCGACTCCTAGTGACCCTCCTTGGGTTTCCAAGGCAGTATCACTACAGAAGTAGATTGCCCCATCTTCCTTCTGAGGAGTGGCTGGTGGGTTTGAACTGCCAGCCTTCTGGTTAGCAGTCAAGTGCCTTAGGCACTAAGCTACCAGAGCTCCTCCTTGATGACTTTACTAATGTCCAAATGCAGACACATGAACCAATAATTACAGCCATGTACAATGTTTAGGGAAAAAATAAAAAGACTGCTAACCCTGTCTTCTGAAAAGGGGCTTGAAGAGGTAGAATCATGAAGTATGGAAAGGGGACAGAACTTCCCAGGCACAGATAACTACACATACCAGCAATGTCCTGTGCTATCCAGTGTGTAGTCCTATGATATTCCTGGAAAGTAGCTAGCTAGCCTGTGCTGGATTGCTCTAGTAGTGGGAAGCCTACTGCCTCCCAGGACTATCCACTCCATTTTCAGATAGCTCTGATGATTTCAATTCTTCCTTCTCTTAAGAAATTTGCATCCATTGGTGCACTGTCCCCCAAAACCACAAAGAATATGTTCAATCCATCAATGTTGTGTAGTCCCTGCAGCAATGCTTTGTTCTAGAGGGCACCCAGATGGATGACACGGGGTCCTAAAGCTCTGGCTGACATCTGATGCCCAGCCAGTTCCTCTCCCACAGCCTAGCAGATTGCAGGGCCAGGGGAAGTGTCCTGTGTCCAAAGTGAAAGAGGGTGATCCCATGTCACTTCAAACAATTCTCCTAGCCTGTCTGGATTTTAGTTTATTCCTAATTCAGTCCATAAATATTTATTGAGCATTACATGAGGATCTCAACCTTGTTTGGGAGATGGAAAAGTGAACATTCAAATGTAGATTCCGTGTGGTAAAAACTTTAGATATTCATGAGATTGGAAAGATCAACAAAATTGATAAAACTTTAGCTAGGCTAACCAAGAGAAAAAAAAAGAGAGAAGACTTAAATTGCTAAAATCAGGAATGAAAGATAGAGTACATTTTTACTGACTAGAATAGGTGCATCTATAGAGATAGAAAGTAGATTATCGGTTGTAGGGACTGGGAGGATGGAGAGAAAATGAGGAGTGACTACTAATGGGTACATGTCTGGTTTTTGAGGAAGACAATGAAAATGTACAACTCTGAGTATGTTAAAAACCACTGAACTCTACTCTAAACTGGTAAATTTTATGATGTGTGAATTGCATCTCAATAAAGCTATTAGACATTTAGGGAAAAAAAAGAAAAATTCATGACAGAAGCACCTCACTCAGTCTCACATTTATTCAACAATAATTTATTAAGCACCTTGTGCTTGACCTCTAACCTAAAGGTTAGTAGTTCGAACCCACACAGCAGTGCCATTGAAGAAAGGCCTGGAGATCTGCTTCCACAGAGATTACAGCCAAGAAAATCCTATGGAGTAGTTCTGCTCTGTCACATGGGGTCATCATGAGTCAGAATCGACTCAATGGCAATGGGCTTTGTGGGCTGCTGAGAGTCCCTAAGTGGTGCAAATGGTTTAGCACTCTGCTATGAACTGAAAGGTTGGCAGTTTGAACCCACCCAAAGGTACTTTGGAAGAAAGCCTGGTGATCTACTTCCAAAAGGTCATAGTCATGAAAACACCATGGAATCCAATTCTACTCTGAAACACATGGGACCACCATGAGTCAGAATCAATTGAAAGGCAAATGATCTGTGTGCTGTTCATATGGTTAAGCATCTACCTGTGGAGCCTTTTCATTCAGTGCTGAGTGAAACTTCTGAGTGAGGGCAGTGGCGTGGGGGCTCTATTTTTTCCCCGACACTCAATGTTGTTGTTGTTATGTGCCGTTGAGTCGGATCTGACTCATAGCAACCTCTTCTTGGGTTTCCAG